GAAGTCAGAAAGTCAAAAAGCAACAGTGGTGAAAATCAGTGTGACCTCAGAGGACTGTATTGCTCTGTAAGAGGTAAGTCTTGAGAAGTATTATTAGCTCACTTATGAAAACAGCAACTTTTGCATGATTGAATCTGTGAGTAAATGACTCAAGTGGAAAGCCTTGCTTTTCCATGGCTGGCCTCCAGCAGGGAAATCTAACGCCCTCCACGACAAGCTAGGAGTCTTTTGTAGCTATGCATTAAACATACACCTGCAGGTCAGGAAGGAATGGATGGAAAACTGCTTTCAGCATTGGTATTCCCCTTGGTTATTCAGAGAGACAGAGTTGCACAGAATAAAGCAGACCTTGTTCTTGGACTGAGCACACCTTCACATGATGGCCCAAGACACATGAACTTTGGAATCCCCAAAGCCAAGTGAACCACAGGGACATTTTCAGCAGAGTATTCACAGAAGCAGCAGTTTTGGAAGAAAATTAGGGAAACTGTGAAGGCATTGGCCTCTGATAATACACCTTAAAGGCAACTGAACTTTAACGCTTCTGATGATATTCTGATAAGAAAAGTGGACTGAATTACAACAGGCAGATAGAATGAGAACCTGACTGATCTGCAGTTTCTTCCTTCAGGTATCTCTCATTGAAAGACTTATACTGGTTAGTTTAGCATCCCGCTGCACACTATTTCAGCTCTTCCTATCTTGTGAATAGTCTTCGGTTACTGAAGATCTTAACAAAACTTTTTTTAATGGATTTATTTTTTAAGTGTTTAATTCTGATCTGTTCTGCCACATTTTTCTGTGTCTGGCACCATAAACGTATCCCTTAGCATGACTACCCATTTGAATTTTGACTCAGTCCAAAATTCACTATGACATTTCTTCAATGTAGAGTGCTCAGTCAAAATCTCTGTCTAGGGCAGTTCACATAAAAGACTCTCCAGAGAATAAGGCACAAACCCCATAAAGGTATTTGTCTTTTGAAGCAAATCACTATGCATTGTCCATAATTTAGAGAACTGTCACTATGCCAGATTCCTGTTTTCATACTTTTTCTTCCTGAGGAAAAAAAAAAATATCTTCTGATTAAACCTTAGTTTCAAATCACATTTATACACACAATTACTGTATTAAGTTTATTCCGCAGTTTTACATCAATATCATAATCCAGTTACCTACTCCATGCTGCTTTAACTTGTGATAGTGAACATTTTCTGTTCAAGATACTGTACCCTAGCTACTGGACAGCCATAACTGACAGGATTATGTAAAAATAGTGGCTTATCATGAATGTCCTAACGTTTTCTGATGTTAAATACTCACTTGAGAATGACGCAACTGCAAATATTGCCAGTGGTTTTGTTTGCCAAGGTTATATTTTGCCTTAAGTGATGCAAAAGAACACAGGCTCCATTCCTGAAATAGCTGGTCTATAAATATGATACCTTTAGATATCCAGCTGAGCCAATGAATCTTTTGCCTTCAGACTTAAATGCTGGATTATCCCATTTGTGGAAAAAAAAAAAAAAAAAAAAAAGGTAGGCATTTTAGATACTTCGCCTTACATTCACATAGTATAAGAGAGATTGATTTTTCCCTATCGTCTTTACTCAAACTGAGTGAGAAAACTGCTGACATGCTCCTTCCTTTTCCATCTGTGTCGTGCAGCTCCCGCGACTCCTGCCATGCCAAACCCTGCCCCTTTGGCCAGTTTGCAAAACCTTGTTATATTCTGGTAACAATCCTTCCCCTTTGGCTCTCCTCTCTTATCCTCCAAGCACTTTGGAGACCAGGTTTCCTTTCCCCTAATACATCACAAACACTGCACACACCATAGTGCAGGTTCGTAGCCATGTCCAAATGACTGAAGTGACCATAGGTCTTCTAGAGATTAATAATCCTCATTTTGGAGGGATTCAGGGTAGTGTTGCACCAGATAATACCATATGGTAGAAATAACCTCAAGGAAGAAGTATTTGTTTTCTGGTTAGCAAAAACTAAGCGATACAGACAAGTCAGTGATGACCATAGAGAAAGCAAGAATTGCTGAGGCGCAGAGAAGCAAGGATGTGAAGACAACAAAAACAGAAAAGAAATAAAACTGTAAAGCTGGAAAATTCGTAATCCTCTGATCAAACTAGTTTTACAAAGAAGTGATTTCATCCTCAGGTACTATTCAATCTCTACCCTAGATCTCAAAGCACAGAAAAACAAACAGCTGTTCCTGCAGGACAGAGTGAAAAGGGAAATGAGTAATGGCCGAATGCTGCTGCCTGGCTACCCAGGGATGTTTGCCCCAGATAGCAAAAGCAGGAGCACTCAGGCCAAGACTCTGCAGGTGTTGATAAGGTTTGGCTCTATCACGAACTACCGGGCTTGTCTCGTGCCAGTGTTCAATGCAACGACCTCTCTCAGCAGAGGTAACAGATCCCCTATCCCTCGCTACCTGCCACCATGGTAGCAATACCACCATGGTATTTTTCAGGACACTGAAAAACAATTGTCTTATTTTACCATAAGGCTCTTACAAATGTCTCATCTTCAAATAATTCCACTCTGCTTGAACACAAGCTAGAGGCTTGGATGTCAGCCTTGTAATAAATACGCGAGTGCAGTATGTCCACTAAATCTATATTAAATCTGTGGGTTTCTATCATATTGTGGGTTTTAATCACATTTTTACAATGACGGTCAAAATACCATCTCCATCCATTTATCTTCTTAATAATCAGCAATGCTTCTTTGTCTGCTGAAAGATCTTTGGTTTTGCCCACACAAGCCCTAAAAGTAGAAAACATGATGCAACATGCTATAAACTCCTGATCATATACATCTACCCACTGAGAACACATCGTTTGCATCTGCTGAAATTGCTCCAGACAAAATGGACAAAATTAAATCACTAAGTATACTAACATTTATTAATAAAAGAAAAACTTCAAAACCCAAGATCTTCCACTTTATATCCTCAAACCCAGAGATCCCACACCAAATTTTCAAGGCACTGAAAAACAGCAGCTCTGCTTAAAGTCAGTATAACAGTAATTACTCATCACCTTTGAAAGTAAGTCCTTAAGTTTGTTTCAAACTGCCTATAAAGAACATGATCTTCAACTCAGAGGAAGTGTGTAGTTTTTTCATTTAATATAATAAGGAATGACACTTTCAGCAGTTTTTAGTTGGTGGTATTTGAACTATGATCTTTGATTTTGTCCTAGAATTCTTCACATGCCGTTCCAAAGCCCCAGAAGTCCTAGGTGAGCACATCGCAGTCTTTTCTTTCTAATTAAAGTTCCTCTCCTTCAGACGCCTTTCCATCTTTCTCTAGTATAATACTGAGCTCCTCAAGTTTCCCACAAACTATTATCTGCAGAAATCTTTGTCCTCAGTTGCAGAACCTCATTCATCTCCCTTCAAATGTTTTTAGACTTTTGCAACGCCAAATATCAGACAGGAACTTCCAGAAGGTGTTCGCTTGTCGCTGCTTTTGCTCATCTTAAACCTAATCACCTCTATGTGCAATTCTGTCCAAACCTAGACAGATATTCACAAGTTAACTAGATGTCTTCTGTATCACAATGTTAATTATAATATAAAACAATGTTTTACATCATGATATAAATGTCCCCTAAAATAACTATTTATCTCCACTGAGTATAGAGTGAGATCAGGTACACAAAGCTGTTCACCATGCCTGTACTGAAGACACTTAAGGTAAAGCAAGATGAATTCTACTCCAACCACCATGTTCTTGGGCCAATAAATAGGATCAGAAGGCACCGCAGAGGTATTTTTACATAACAGAGCGTGTTAGGTTATCTGACTAAAGACTAAGCAAATTTAACACAAAACCATGGCAAGGATCAGAACTATTAGTGAAAATCAAGCACACCAACTCACTAGTCCTAAAATCATCAAAGGAGAATGATCCAGATCATTGCTCCTGGCAAAAAAACCACTAAAACAAGTGTAGGAAACACTCTAGAAAGCCGTGCAAACTGATAGATTACCTAAGGGGGTAAAGATTTCTTACAGGATACAGAGGGATGAGAATTTAGGGAAAGAACAGAGAGAACTTGGAGACTATGTAAAATTTATTAAGGGATTTTTTTGAAGGGGACTGCAGCAATGTGCAAACCTTACTATGAGATGTTGATGGGAAGCACCAAAGGTGTGTAAAAGGAGGGACTAAGGTAGACTGGAGAGAAACAAGCATGGAAAAACCAAGGACAAAGAGGATAAAGGGGGCCAGTCCCACGTAGACAGCTTACCGATTACACTCCGGTGTGTGAGCCTTGCACTTCATTGCTGCAGCCCGTCTGATACTCTTATTACGCCCTATTTCTAACCAGCCCTTGCGTGCACGTACGTGTCAGAGCTAGCAAACTTCAAGTGGGACCAGTACATGAGTGGGACAATAGGAGTAAGTATGAGCCCCTGGAGCAAGACTGCATGTCTGAGGGACTGGAGGCAGCAGCTGGGAGAGAGGGGATGGATGCCAGTCCCGCCTGGGCTGTCTCACAGCAGCTACCAGAGCCCCACTTTGGGGTGCGTGCATACCCCGCAGGGGAATATCAGTCCTGGGCTGTGGGAGAGAAGGAAGAGGGTGGGTCTGTCGCGGCCGAGCACAGCCCGTGCTCACACGGGTGCCAGGAAAGGCCCTGCTCTCTCCTGCTGCTGATTTGTGGCTGGCTCTGTGTCTGTTGTTTGCGTTGTGTGCAGGTGCACGCCGTGTGTATTGTTTTGTATTGCTGTGGGCTTGTGGGTACAGAATCCCAGCAGCCTTGGAGCCTTTGGACTGGGAGGGGAAAAATCCATCCCAGTCCCAAAGACCAGGGGATTCTGCCACCATGAACAAAATGAAGAATACCCACAGAGACACTAGCAAAAACATTCCTGTGGAATGTTTCTAATTGGTCTAAAATTTCTAGATATTTCCATATACACCTCAGAAACCTGAGTGGCAGTTTGGCTTTTAGATATCGAGAATATACACAGAGTAAAAGAAATTATTTTATTCAAGTACCTGTATCATTACATAGCCTGGCTGTAATAAAACAGGAATAAAATGTTGATGACTCCACAGATGCTTTATCATGAAACAGCTAAAACTCACCAATGCTATGAATACTGATTTAGATATTTCTGTATCAAAGAAGTTATTTCTCTTTCAAAACAGTCTTTAAATATCTTCTCAGAGTAAGAATATATACAGAAGTTATCTTTTTTGAATAAGCAGGCATGTAGGCACTGCATATGCTTTATAAAATAGTTCATCATCTCCCTTTTTTTTTCCTGTCATCCACACCAAAATTTTGAAGGCAATCATTAACAGTTTCCTTATATTTTCAGTATCTTATGTGACGCTAAGGATTTTTTTACATACACCTGGGTACACATACATGCAGATGCATGTATCCATATTCTTTTTGCATATATTGATTTCAGGAAATTTGATAACTCCTTTAAGGTGATTAAGATGAGTCCTGATTACACCTCTCAAATCACTGAGGGGAAAAAAATAAAAAACCAAATCACCAAATAAAAAAAAAATTAAGAGCTCTAGTTCCTTCAGGGTAATTTCTAAACCATTTCAGTGATGGCCTGTGACAGGCTCGTATGAGCACTTTTTGCAAGCAGAGCTACCACTTGGCAACTACTATATTTAAGTAAATAAGTTTAAAAAAACCCCTACCATGAGAATTATGTATTTTTGGTGGACGGCCAGAAAAAGTGTTGGAGACCAACTGCAAGGGTTTCCAAAAGGGACAAACCAACAGCAGCTAGCCCAACAGCACACAAATACATGGTCAGAGATCCTCTGAATAGACAGACTGCAAACACCACCTGCAAAATTCCAAATGACTGACTTCTAACCAGAAAGCCCCAGCCCACATCTACACTGGTTTTACAACTAACACATTTCTAGAAATCATAGCAAGACCTGATTTTGGAAAACAGGCTTTTTCCTGGAATGCTAAGAGGGTGCTCCACTTGATGACAAGACCTGTGTCTCTGTACAAGACCAGACCCATTGAATTTGAGAAAGGAATTAATACACAAATACACAGCATCCCAGTACCCTCCTAACTTTAAAATTCCTTTTTTCAGCATGCTGTTACAATCTCTCTAGCAACATTTTCAGCCAACCCTGGTCCTCTGAGTTGCTCCACTTGGGGGCCTGTCTGAAGGCAACAGCGCACAGAGGTCTCTGAACACAGAGATCCTTTGGACATGGCTTGTGCAGTGGAGCTCAACACCAATACCACACTGTAACCAAACTAACTTCAGAACTGAAAGCTTTCTAGTTACATTCATCTGCACCAAAGGTAATAAATGCCAAGTGGCAGGGCTTGTTCACACCAGAGGTTATCATGACTCAACAAATCAACAACCAACTACATCAACTCAAGCTAAACTGACAAGGCTGAAAATTTTTAATCGCATTCCAGAAGATTAGTCTGGTTTTGCAAATCGTGCAAGACTTGACTACAGCTGTGTCACAAGCCATACTTTGGACCGCACATTCTCCCTCAATTTTCTCAGTGTTTCAGGAAGGAAATAAACTGTATTTGGCACAGAGTGCACTGCATTAGAACAACAGGCACACAGCCAGCATCAGTCTATTCCCTGATCTGTTCCACTGCTTCTCATCATCCTACTTATAGCTCTTCAGATCTGCTTCTCTTCCTGCACCACCCCATAAGCTAAGTGATCCAGAGAGTAAAAGATACATTATGGCCTCTTATCACGAAACAGCCATAATTGTGCCATGATGATCCAGGAATCTTGCCCAAACAGTGCTGGAAGAGACGAGTGAAAGATTAAGAACTAGAAATACATATGGATGTTAGTGTCAGTAGAAAACATTAAACAGGATGCTATAAGAAGGCAAGTGCTCAATTTTCAGAATAAAAAAAAAAAAGTTAAACCATAAAGTTTATTCTAATTGAGTTCATATTTTGTGCATTATCTTGGGGCGAAGGGGAGTGTAGTTACAGACTGCATAGCAGTGCAAAGGCTTAAAAAAATAATTTAAGCAAAGCTTATGGTTATTACATATCTCATCTTTCTGCAAGAGAAGCCTTCAGCCTAGAAGGCCTAGCTGAATTCCAGCATAGTTTTCCAATCATCTTACTGTCTTCAGTAAAAAGATAAGTCTATCCCACAGGAAGAGAAGCAGAGAATTTCCCAAACACTAAAAGAACTTTGGGCTTCAGGTACCTTGTGAAATGTGAAGTTTTTATTTTTTTATATAAACTTAAAATAGAAGGCTTGTAATGAATCTCACTTAAAGAAGTTTCTGTGCCCTATACAATTTATGTCATCTTTCATCCAGATTTTAGAAGTTTTAAATAAGCTAAAGATATTTATTCAACTATGTAATTATTAATATCAGCAACTTCAACAGTCTGAAGTTTTGCCAAGTCACGTAACAACAGTTAAGACAGAACAAAACTATAAGTAAGTTTACGTATGTCTGAGAACCTTGCTGAATTTCTTTGGATTGAAGAAAAATAATAGATTGTACAGTAATAAATATAATTCGGTATATTTGTCAGTTGGAATAATCAAGATTTAGTCCACTGCCCTAAGGACACTTGTTTACTTTATTAGATTAGTTTAAACAAATAAACAAAAAAACCAACACACCATAGCATAAGGACAACTGATTTTATAACTCTGTATGGAACAAAGATTTTTTGCCTCTGACAAATCTGAATCTGTTTCATCCTTCTTTTGTAATTACAGTATCAATGAATAGGATTGGAACTACAGATATCCTCCACCAACCACCAAGTTACCTGCTTATATCAAAAGGGTCAAACTCCACCACAATACACAGCATTGGGCCAGTAACATCAGACAGGCAAAAGGCAATAAAAAAAATGACAGGGCCAATTCTTATGACTACCCAAAGCAGACGATGACTTGAGAAATCAGAGCATTTGTATACTTGGAAGAAAAGCCACATTTCTGGAGCCGTATGCTGTATTACCAATGTCCATCAAATTTTGTACAGTGGATTCATTCAATAGTGAAATTTTCTTTCACTGTGACATTTTGTACATGTGAAAACAGTTATTTCACTACTGCCACAATATGCTTCTTCCTCTCTGACACAAATGGCATAGATCCTGGTTTGCTGTGCTTACGACGATTCAGTTCCCTAGAAACGAAAGACAGAAAAATGAAATACTTGTGCTGGCTACTGAACTTAACAAATACTAGCTTCTTCCTTAAGCTACTAATTGAGATATCCTACAATTAAAAAAAAAAAAGCCACATACTTCCTCCTTTGAGAAGGATTGTCCCTTTGAAAAATAACTTTGCAGTTGTCTAATTTAGAAAAGCTTCAAATTTAGCCTTTTCTCAGCAGCTCAGCTTTCTTGGTTTTCACATCAACAGTATTTGCTGCTCAAGTTCACAAAGTCTTCCATCTGAGCAAGATGACTAGAACCCATCACTTTTTGGTTTTACTGTCAATTTAATGGCTACAAAGTGTGCCACCTTCTGCTCCTAGAAATGCCAATATGGCAATGATCCAGGTGACAGAAAATACTCATCCTGGAGAACCTGGCATTAAAAAAAAAAGAAAACCAAACAACAAAACTCAGGAGAAAAAAAAAAAAAAAAAGCCTCCACACACCCAAAACAGACCATTCCATTTCCATTGCAACGTTGCATCATGTGATGCTTAACAGAGCATTGTGCCCCCTTCCAGCATGGTATTTGCTCCCATTTTTTCAGTGTACTTTTAGGGAAGAGCCAGTCCTCACTGATACTGGCACCTGTCTGCATTTTCCTTATAAACAAAGATTAATCAATCCAGTAGTTCATGATGACTGATTTGAATGATAAAAGTAGCTCATACTTGTTTCCTCCCACACACTGTAGCACCATCACTCCCATACATTGCTGCTACAGCACTGCAGTAATGCATTTTATTAAGATCAACAGAAAAAGCCTGAAGAGGAAGACATACTTTCGCCGACGAGCTTCTTTCATGATACGTTGCTCCTTGATTTGGCAAAATATACTTTTAGGTAAGTGACGGTGTTGAGCTATGCGTCTGATCTTTGGGTGATACTGGAACTTCTCCTTCAGCTTCTGATTGTAATTCATAGCTGCCTTCTCTCGTGGTGCAAGCTATGGGGAAAACAACACAGACTAGCATGTTATAAAAGATTAGGGATTTAACCATCATTATTTTCTCTACAAAACAAAATTTGAACTTCCAATTCAAATGGCTTCCTTCTAGCAAATGGCTGTAACCACAGGAACTTCAGAACTAGAGTAGCTAAGTATTAAAACCCTACAATTTCAACAATACCCCAATGGTGAAACACAAAACATTATCACAGTTTCAAAGTTCAGTGAAATAACTGAATTTATTCCCTGTAAATCAAATTTTAATGTGCTGTAAAGAAGAGAGAATAGAAATAGCTGACAGTAAAATCTCTTTCATCAGTCTGCCTGCTTTCCTAACCTCAGCTGGCTATCAACTTTGCTGTGAAACAAAGATTTGCAGGCATTTTAATCACTAGCCAGTGTAAGTATAAAAGCTATAAATGAATTGTCTTCTTGAACAGCTTTACAGACAGCTCTTTAAGTGGCCTAAATCTCACCCAGTGCCTTGATCCATTAGAAAGCACAGTGCCTGTGTCAGATTTCAAGTGTCAGCTTGACTATAGGGCACACAGGGAGTTCCAACTTTCATCACACAGCTAAAAATATGTTAGTATCACAAACACATGAAATACAGGTGAGCTAGTATTACCACAAAAGACTTCAATTTTATCGATTTTTAAAATTATGTCTGAGCCACCATTAACAACACTGAAAGTGAAAAATGCTTTCTCCTGACAGCTAACCTACAGAGGATATATTTTTTTAGCTAGGCATGTTTCCTTTGGTCCTAATGCTTATTTATCAAAAGGGGAAAAAAAAAAAAATCTCTGTGTGCTGTGTTTTTGGTTAAACCATGCACTGGCACATAAGGAATATCAGCCTCTATATATTTTGGATTTGTTTGGATCTCTGGGAATTTCAGTTGCATTTCAGTCTAGTGAGCTTTCATACAGACAGAAAAATCTGTTAATATTAACAGAGGATAACTTTATCCTCCTCTTCCTACCCTCCTGCACAAAACACATTCTAATTCCAATATTTCAGACATCTCAAAACCCTTCATATTTTCAATGAGCACAAGTCTTTCACCCTCCCACGTTTATTTCCACTACCACCTGCACCGAAAGTATTAAAAGCAAAACAATCATTCAGACAACTTCTTTTTATTCAGCTTTGTAAATGATTCAGTTTCACTAATTTCTTACTTTCTCAAGAAAAAAAAACAAAAAAAGAACCTGAGTTTCAGACACTAGCAAAAAGTAACAAAACCAACAACTTTATCACACACAAAAATTTGGAAATTTCACCTACAGTATGAAGAAACATGCTTTTTTCAACTGCTTTGAAATCAGTAATTGGCTATTTCTTCTCCACTCAGGAGGTCACTTTTATAAGTGACTTCTGTTAGAATATTTAGTGAATTCTGAAAAAATAAATATCATACTCAGATAATTTTGGTCTGAAAGCAAGTATTAATAAAACATATGGCAAAGGAGTTTCTCCTCTGGGACAATAAAGAAACCAGGTACCAGATGCAGAGCTGCTCATCGCTCAGAAAATTCTTCATCAGACATCAAAGATACATAATGCTCTTAACCTCTGTTTCTCTGAACTCTCTTATTCATAAAAAACCAAACCCTTCTGCTTTATTTACATTTATTGTGACCTCTCAAATTGCAAGCAAGTAGATTTTACAGTCTTAACTCACTAAAGCTACACACCCACAACCCCCCTGCCCTTTACTGAAATTCCTTCTAGTGAGCTAGCCTGAATAGCTGGTTCACTCTCAATAAATCCCAGGTGTTCCCACTCTGCAAAAAACTGCCAAGATAATCCAAATTAAAGAGCTTTTATTTTAATTAAATGGAATGCTTTTCCTTTAATTTAAGAAGAGCAAATTGCTGCCGATTTAGTATAACCTTGATGATTCTACAGATAAGAGGTGAATGTGTAAATTAAAGATACAACCACGATACCTTATTTTAAAAATTAATAAAGATTAAGAAGTGGTTATGTTTGAGTGTGATTCCATTTTTATGTATAATGTGATATATAGAAAGGCATGTAGCTGGTGGCTTTTCATCCAACTACTGAATGCCAATGCCCCATATACCAGGCTGTGCTAAGTGCACCCTCACCTACATGACAGTAAAAGAAAATTTTGCAGTATTGACAAATAGACAAAACCTTATGAGAGATAACAGATAGCTAAAAAAGACTGCAATAATGCACTAAATTCCAACCTCTTTCTTGCAAGTCATTTTACAAAGGTCAATGCAAACAGCTGAAGAGAACAGCATTACTTCCCACTCTGGTTTGAGCTGAAGAAGACGCCGTAAATACAGCAGGGTCAGAGATTTTGTTTATAGGGACTAGAACACGCTATAATAAATTAGGATTTATATGACATCATGTGTGGAAGACCTGCTCAAAGATGATGTATGATCCTTTTTTCACACATTCCAAAAGTGAATGTGCAACTTCATTTCTGTATGAGGGAAATGGGAATTATGTGGCAGAAAGACAGATGATTTGTGCCATTACCACAGGAGTACTTCACAGTAAATACCTAGACTGAAAGTGGGGGAGAAAAGAACTCTAAAATGCAACCAAGTTGTCAGCAATAAAAAATGTGTCCTTGACTGAACTGCCTATGCCTCTCTCCTCCCTCCGGATGAGAGAGGTGGTTACTTTTCCCACCTAAGCAGAAGGAAGGTAAGCATTTTTGCAGAGCCCTGACTGAAGTGCTAAAACCACCTTTAACAAAAAAATTATCTTTTTAACAAGGACTCTATTTGTAGTGTGAAGTATTTAAAAGTCCACACTATTAGGCTCCTGTAATTCAGCATGAGAATATAATGGCTGTTTATCTATCCTGTCCAGGTTGCCCTTCCAGGTTAGAGCAGACGGAGCACAGATGCAACTTATTTTGAGAATGCAAATGTATCCCAGCAGTTTTCTACACCATAGTTTGTCTTTATTTTTTTTTCCATTGCTCTGCTGAAAACACCTTTCTAAATTTATTGCCATAAAGTTTATTACTCATCATTTCCTTGGTCCAAAAACTTACAGCTCCTTTATATCTAAATGGATGACAAAAAAAGAAAGGTAATGTAGATGTTAAGAGCACAAAATCATAGCTAAAGGAATTAAGTTACATGTGCATTGAATAACAAACCCAAAAATCACTGTGAAAAAATTGCCATGTCACACAATATCTGGTACTGCTTGTTATCAGTCTTATCTCACAAAATGGAACTGTATACTAGAAACAGACTGAAAGGATATACAATTACTTACACCGTTTTGATGCGCTTCTGCTAAGGCACTTTGCCAAATCAAAACCAAGACTTGTAACTGCACTTTCTCCTATCTTTTTCAGACCTTACTCACAAGCTCCTTTCTGCATCTTGCAAAAAAGCAGCAAACCTATGCTCTACTACTGTAACACATACTCCTCACACTAGTTTTACACTTACTGAAATACAAACCATTCCCAAGCAGAAAGCTTTCTTCAGTTGTCCAGTACTGCTCTAATTCCTAAATATTTATAAATGTAAGAGCCAAATTTTGCAGCTGCTACTGACAGAAGTAATGTTACTAAGCATTTACGCCCTAAGAACTGCAGCTGTAGATCATTTTTTTATCATGTGTGAATATATCGAAGAACAATACAGATTTTTGAGGTTTTACTGATCATCCATTGCTTTCACTGCAATTCAAAAAACCCAGTCTATCCCTTTCTTTGTATTAAGTAGATTAATTTTACTATATTACTGCTGCTTTTCCAGCCTTTTCACTCAGATGAGGCTCTGTTTTCCTCCTTTCCTCAAAAGCCAAAGTCATTACCTTTTCAGAAATCCCAAACTTCTCAAAGAGCACAAGTACAAAAGCCTCAACCATACTCAGTATGTCATATTCTATGTACAGTAATTGAACAGTCTGGAGTATATCGAACATCTTCTTCAATTGAATCTTTTGCTTCTGGACATGCAGAGCTAGATGTTTACTGCTTTAAAAATAACACCTGTTACCTTTATTATTTAATAATAATTATTTATTATTTAATCAACTTTTATTTTAAAAGCTAAACACTACAAATTATTTTAAAGCAACTTCTGCAGTAGCTCCAACAGAGAGATTTGGGGTTTGTTACCCCAATGCAAAACCCATGCAGATTTAATCGTCAGTGGAGTGGAGACACAGCATGCCTCTGGCTCCTCCAGAGACTTTTATTCTTTCTTGAATGTTTCACTGATTTTCGAATAATGAGTGAGATGCCAAATACATTAAAAACAAAAAGAAACAGGCATGTCAGAACTGGTGACTTCTAGGCTAGCCACGGTTCAGAAAGTATAACTTTCCAACAGGAAAAATGTTCATCAGTCACAACATAAGTACTCTATTTTCACTGTAACTTCCCTGGAACCCAACAACGCTAAAAACAAGTAAGACTGAGTACCTGCCAAAAAAGATGATGTTTGATTACCATTTCCCTTTCTCTTTCAGGATGCTGGTTTCCATCCACCCCCACCCCAAAAATATCCATCTTAAAATACAATGTTTTACAAGATGTTAGCTTTATATCAGAAATACAGTGACCTTTGGATGAGTCATTCAATCAAATCTTCTCAGCGAAGAAAAATAGCAGACCAAGCAACTAAGCATTTAAGACATATTCTGACACTTCTGACAGAATTACTGCATGTTCAGCTTTGAATATTCAAAATGTTCAAAAAATAGCCACAGACTACGGAAGAACTGGACATTTATAAAATAAGCAAGCATATGTCTGTGAAGATAAGAACACCAATCCTCTAAAAAAGGAGCAGGTACTAAAGAAAAACAGTGGAACCTGATAAATAACCGTTAACAGTTGCAATGTTAAAAGCCACAGGAACTACCAGGTTGGACTGAACAAGGATTAGCACAGTTGCCTGAATCCAAGCAGCACTTCCAAGGTATATCCAAGAATGTGATAAGCCATAAAGGTTCCACTCTTAAGTCCTATTAGCAAAAATTACTCTCTAAACATCTTAAAAATAAAATTTCATAGTACTTCTAAAAAAAAAAAATTAGCAACAACTATGGCAGCTTTGGACAGTTACTCATTTACTATATAAATTCCGTGTCTTGCTAAATTCAAGGCTTCAACAGCTTCATGCTTAAACACTTTTCCACACAGGATATGGGGATGTGAAACATTATCTCTTCTTATTATAACATAATTCTTTACAAGTTCATTAGCGTCATCCACGTCACAAGAGAACAGTTTTCCTACATAATTCACTATGCCCTGTATGAGTCCTTCCTGTTTTTCCAAATAATTTTGATTTCTTAAGATGTCTGTTGATGCTGCAAGATGTTTTTTTAAAGACAGGATGACAAATTTTGTATTCTAAATGATGGGATGACTTCCATTTCTGATAGTAAAAAACAACAAAACAACACCAAACCAAAAACCAAAACCAACACACACACACAAAATCAAACAAAAACCCACATGCTACTTGACAAGCTACTGACTTAAAATAGCTTTGACAGAAATGTTTACAAACCCTTACACGCACACATGGTACAAAAGCTGTATTTGTATGATCCCACAACAGCAGAACTGAATCATTTACGCAGCCTCCAAGAGGCATGTCAAACATCAACGCTGTACTTAGAAACAGGAGAAAAAAAAAAAAAAAAAAACAAACAACAGGCTATTTTATGTAGGCTTCACTGTCAGGTCAAGGAACACGAGTATTAATGTGCTGACCATATCCAATACCTGATAGACATAATTGGCAGTGCCTTTTTTAGGCCCATCCATGGCCAGTTTTCACTGATGCATATATTACAAAAAACAGCAGAATGTCATTTACCACTCTGTTTTGAATACTTAAACAATAGCTAAGTTTTCCTTGTACTTAATATTTCTATGATTCAGGAATAGCTGGGTTTGCCTATTACTTCCCAGAGCCAAATATCCTTACTCTTTGATAAGAAAAGGACCCAATGCCATCTAGTAAACAATACAGTGAATTCAATACAGTGAATTTTTACACCTGAAAATATTAGGAAACATTCTATATGAAAATGGTATTTTTGACATTCTTTTTACCTACTTGTCCTTCACACAAGAGGCAGAGTAAAGACGCATGTCAAAAATACCAGGCAATTGTTATAGAACAGCATCTCAGAGAGAGGCAGCATGCTCTCTCACTAAGAATACAGTGAATAAGGAGAGAAAATTTCAGTTAATACTGTAAAGCCAGGTGAAAAGGGCATTGTCATGAGCATGGATATGACACTAGGAAAACTGGTAATATTTCTGCCCAATACTGCACTGTCTAAGCAAATTCAACATAAATCTTAAATCAAAAAGGTCTATAATACACTTTGTGGAGTCCTTGGAATTAACAAGGGTGGGACTAATATTATGACTGAAGCACTATGTGGGAAAATCCCAAGAATGAATGCACAACAGAAAAAAAAAATAGCACCCTCAACAAAAAAAGAAGAGTTATTCCATTAAAGAAATTCAAGTTAAATAGTAGTTTGTAACCACAAATACTGTACAGGATATAAAGTTGAAGGGTTTTTTTTTATCTATAGCTCTATAGCAAAGATGAGAAAAATAACAGGACTTCCAAATACCTATGGTGGGCCATGGCTAAAGATACACATGTTGTTTTAGCTGTGTTACTCCACATCCAGTGTTTCACATCGCACAACAGTCTATTAATTACCCCATTCTGCATTACAGCCCCAAGTACTCCTACCACTCCCATTTACCTGCCAACTCTCCCAGCTATGCTCCACTTTCCTCCTACACAGATACTATAACTTGATGGAATTTCAGGTAACCACAAGCAGCCCTAGACAAAACTACAGAACAGATCCATCCCCTTAACTGTACAAAATTCTTCCCCAAATTACAGCCTCCCTTTCCTCACACCCCACAAGACCAAGTAGAAACTCCCCCAAGCATTATTTGACAGCTATGATGATGGGCTCAGAAAAAGCAATGTAAGCACCTCCAAAATACAATAACACTATAAAGCTACGTTAAAAGAATTATTCCGAGAGAACAGCGTTAAATTCATTTTCCAAAGTCATTCAATACTTTAATATAACTGTGCAGATGAATATATGCAAGTAGTAACTGTAACAGAACATTTTGGCTTTGTCAATACACAAACATTTCAACAAGTGTAACTGACAGACACTATCAAATTAAACTGATGTCTGCTCCTGCTAAAAAACACTTCAACCAAACTGACTTACACTGAATTAGATGGACTTCAGACACCACACCAGTTTACCCACTTGACACCCAAGAGTTATACAGGTTAATGACAATCTCAGTTATGTATTGGTACAAATGGATTATTTCACAATGCATATGCTTATCACAGTATGGACTCCACACAAATCAGTCGCACGCCGGTCAAAATTTTTAAAAGTAGTAACCCTAAGCTTCAGTAGAATGACTTACGTATGGCAAGCTAGAATTTATTGCTTTTTCTTTAGTGCAAATGGATGAATTCTCATCTGTATCACCCAGGCAAAAAAACCTCCAATCTAGTTAAGTTAGAACTGATGATGATTGTTAACATCAAGAAAGACTAAAAATAAAAAGTCACCTTGTGTAGAAATAACAAGGCACGTAATTTTATTATTATAAGCTGCAGTAAATTCAATGAGCTATACTGCACATGTCAATTTTCAAATCAAATACAAATGTCAAACTACAAATTTACATTTTCCCTTTTGAAGCAAGATTTTAGAAGTTGAATAGTCTAACCAGTTGTAGTAACAAAAAACTCCAAACATCCTATCTTGTGATAACAAAAAGCAAAATGCAACTCTTACCACTCCTAGTTTTTCAGAAGCATTAGCTTTCCACAGACGAATATTCATCTCATCTGAGCCACAGAGAATATATTTGTTATCTGAAGTCCATTTTACAGTGATGACGTGCTGCATTCGTTTTGTATGATATACCTCCCTAAAGCAAAGAGAAACATTTTAAAATTATTTATCATCACTTTTCCCAACAACACTAGCTTACAAATAGGAAAAAGCATCCTGTTCAAGGCAAAATTTATTTTTTATTTTTGTTGTCACTGTTTTTGAAAACAAAACGAAACCAACCTTTTTTTAAAACATTATGCTGATGTTTATATAGAGAGAGATTCAAATAAAGTGTGGTGGTTAGACTGACAAAGGACTACCTAGAATAAGATGCTTTTTAAAAAAGTGCTTTCATAAAAATTACAGCAAATAGCTAAAGAATAACTTTTTGCAAAACATTCCACGTCTATATAATATGTATACTGTTCCTGAAACAATTTTCATTAACATGCAGTCATACCAATCAAGCATTATGGAATGGGACTGCATAAGAATGAGTGCCAAAGAATCTGACACATTACGAACAAGAAAGTGAACAGTAAATAAACACCTCCAGCTGTCTATTTATGATATGGCAATGAACTGGCTACTCTTCATTGTGATTTCTCTCCTTTCCCCAAAAATGAACTTCCTTATTATTGTCTAAAGGACTCCTAAGAAAAATTTTAAAACCCTAAAAACTCAAAAAAAATCTCCAGTCCTGCAAAGAACACAACAAGAAGTATCAGTAAAAAAGGATTCAGAACAGTTGTGTGGCTATTAAAGCATAAACTACATTTAATTTCTGCCAGTCAGATTCCTGACCAACAAGTGCTGCTACCTGTTGAAAAATGTTTCTACGTGTTACATTTAAAACAATATTTAAATGAAACTCTTACCTAATTTTAATTAAGTATGTACCAAAAAAGCAAAACGGTATTATTCATGAAGTTATTCTTCTATTTCTGCTAACAAAATATGGGTCTAAGCACACTTCTATGGTAATTTTAATTATTTATTAGCATTCTAAAGGTGAAGAATAATGCCTACTCATTGTCTGCAAATACCTCCTCCTTTGGTGTATCAGTCATGCACAGCAGCTTATACACCATTCATTTCTACCCAGTTATTTTTTCGAGTAAAATCCAAGTAGTAATGGAAAGGAAATGTTGAAAAAACTTCTATTCAAGAACAGTGGAAAAAACAGACTGGGGTTGAGCTGAAGAGATTGTGAGAAAAACCAAAGTAATCAATCACCTTAAATAAGCTTAACCACCTCTTGCAATTCACACTCAAGTGGTGGTCTACACGAACAATCACATGGATGACTGAGCACAAGAACCTTCAGAAAACATTGATACTCACATCAGCTTTTTATTGATGTTGATGTTTAATTGAATGCGTACACATGCATATTTTCACAAGCACTTTTATGTTTCCTTTCATTTTACTATTTGGCTAAATAACAAAGCTTTTCTTCACCCACCTTTGGCGAACTAAATATTTTTCCTTTCCTTACTCTGAATTTTCGGCCTTTGCCTCTCCTGTTCCTGTCATCACAAGTTATTAAATACCATTCTCAGGAAAAGGAAAAACACAGAACATGGACAAATAACCTGGATCTGTCATTTTGAAAAGTTGCACAGACATCTGGTTCTGTTTACCAAGAATTTACTAAATTTAAATCAACTTCATAATAAATGTTATTTCCTATGGCTAATCAATTTCCTAATTTAAATTTTATTTTTAAAATAAAATAGAAAGCAATGGAAGTTAGGAGGTTTTCAGATTGGCAGAAGATCAAAAGTTGAAACTGGAATACCATCAGGATCCTTGTTTACAGATACTCTTAACTGCCCTCTCAGTTTTGCAAGTAGGGTCAGATCTTCCATTTGGAGACTATTCTCCATTCCAGGGAATTAATTTCAACTGTGCAATTCTGAGAAAGCTCAGCTTCTAAAGAATTTTACGTGCCCCAGAATTCCTTAGTCAGCTTATATGAAGCTAAGTTCTTCATTTGTATGACTTTTTCCTCACTAGATTTATGGCCACCACACAGAATGGAGGGAAAAAAGGGGGTAGAAAGAGGAAAATTCCTTCCACAGACCTTGGCAACAATCTGCTATAACGTGGAATAAAGCCTGAAATGCATACATAACTGCATCGATCAATAATAAAAAATATACTCCTCCCCAGTCGATATTTCAACATCTCCACTCCCCAAACCACCTAGAACTTTACCTAGTAGCAACTTTTTGGGGGGGCAGAGGTTGAAGAGAGGAAGACAACTAGAAATAAAATAGGCAAGTAGAAATAAAATAGACAATAAAGAGGAAGAACTGACAACAGAGAATAATGAAAGTAGGTTTATGAAGAACAGATGACTGCAGACAGATCTGATAACTTGCTACAATTTTCATCAAACCGAAAAAAAAAAAAAAAAAAAAACAATGGAGACAGAGTAGATCCAATCTGAACTTCAGCAAAATATTTAATACACTGCCTTATGAAATCTTACATGAAAAACTAATTCAAAGTGAACTGTATTCAAAGCATCATCATATGAATAAAACCCTGGATAACAAAATATGAACAAAAGGTAATAAGCATACTGAAACAGATGACAAAAATGTTCCAAACAGATCCTCAAAAATTCATACCACGGTGCTTTTTACATAACATCTTCAGCAATCACCCATGTAGGATGAACAATCCCTAGAAAACCAAATGCTACAAAATTGTAAGGCACTGCAAACTTAAATGGTGACAGATAGAGGACAAAGTGACCTAAAACATTAAAGATACATGTAGAGGAAAGTAAGATAGGATTCATCTTGGTAAAATACAAATGAGTACACCCAAGAAAAATAATCCACTGTAATTTTAATCCAAAACTGCATAAATATGGCAGTCCATTAAGTAGAAGTTCTACTCTAACACATAGTCCAGAATTACCTATCAACCACACGCTCTGTCAATCTCAAGTTATATACCAAACAAGATTTCAATATCCACAGGAAGTGAATGCCCCAGTGAAGATGTTAATGATGAATTAAGAATTTTGAGGACTAGAGAGGAAGGTCACTGGAATGAATGACAGAAAGAAAGGTGTAAAATCACTCACCTGCTGTGACCTTTGTCTACAGGAAAAATGCGGACAGACTTATCAAAGCTGGCAGACACAAATTCTTTCCCAGTAGGTGAATAATCCACATCAAGAACAGCAGACACGTGATCCATATGCACGATCACAGGTGATTCAAGAAAGCGCATATCAAAAGTATATAAGCTTTAAAATAAATACACCAACAGCTTAGTATCATAACAACTCATACTTAAACAGTACATTTTTGCAGAACAGCTACTTTAATCGTACATAAACCATACTTAAGGACAGATCCGTATAGCAGAGGGAACTCTTTAAAACTGCTCATAATACAGGAAAAGAAAGAACGATGCAATGTTTAGGGCTTGAAAAAAGTTTATTAACCAGAGGCTTTAGTTATTGGATCAGACCTAGGTTTCTTTCTCACTGTCAAAGAACAGATAGTCTACGCTATTCCTTTCATCATATGTTCATGGGTCACTGCCCAAACCTACTTCTCCAACCACCACACTGTCCTCTTTTACTCCATCTTCAGGTAGAAGTATATAACCTGAACTTGGACAAGCTTCACTGAATCATTATGGCAAGCCTATCAACTCTGCAAGGATTCTAGATATTCCCATACTGGGAAGTCCTAGTAACTCAGTCTACTGTGAAGTTCCCATTTGGTTAGCACCCTTTGTTACTGCCTAATTGTCTTTAGGCCAGACAATGTAGGAGTCCAAGGAAAGCTCGGTCCTTCAATACACGGAGAGACTAGTTCAGCAGAGCACACTATCTGTAGAAAAGCATTACATTAAACACAGAGCTGCCAGATCACAGCTGGTTTGCTCTTAAGCACTTCCAAGCTCGGGTGAGGTCTACCTGTACTCCCTTTGGATCAACAAACCCACTGATACATAGCACGGCATAATACCTGAGTAAATCATTAATTTGCCTAGGGACAATAAGCAAAGGTGCTTTACAGACAAAGCATTTAATGAAACCTTCTTAAGATATACTATTTCGTAGAACTACTATATTGAAAATTTGTTATTTATCAGGTTTCTCTGCCTTTTTCCTGCAGATGAATGTATAACTAAAACTAATTCAATGTCTCTTATTCAATAGTTTACTGGCAACTATTGCTCTTTCCTTCTAAATTCCCAAGAAAAAGTATGCTAGCATCATATTCAAAACCACTGCTACATCTAATCAGCTAACACTTGCATACACATTGTTGATACATGCATTTGCCATTGCGCCTTTTGCTTTAGTTTGCAAGAGGACAGTTGTCCTCGACAGTAACAGCTACCATTTTTAGTTTAGCAAGGAGCGGGGAAAGAGATGTATAAACAGATTAGGTAACCTGGTAGCCTTACCATACCATAACCAAAATAGGTGAAAAGCAGTACATTCAATATAACACCCAGTTTCAAGGTCTGCGCCAGATTGCATTTCCTTGGAAAAACAGCCTTAAGATAAGTGATAAAATTCCTATGTTCTAGAAGAAAACAGTGATCTATTGTTAGATCGCTGACTTCCTGGGAAAAAGGATATGGAGCACATTTTGCAGTGGCCTAGTTTTGAAGAGACAGCTTTTTCAGTATCAGATTAGCTGTTCACATGAATAGTATCGTTCAAAAGTAAAAAACTGCTCTGAGACATTGAAAGGACAACTACTGCAGTCTCTGAAACTGTTTCACAAAAGATTAATTTACCTTTTTAAGAAATGTTCTCATCAAAGTAGCTGATCAGAACAATATATCAAGCTTCATAAGAGCTGACAAGAAACACTTCTATTGCCTCAGACTGGACCAAGAGCAGTTATTTTACAGGTCCCACTGCAAGTTACACTTGCATCGGTTCAGCTGCACTTTTTAAGTTACATGGCTTTTTTTCCACCCAGGAACTGAAATACAGAGAAGGAGGCAGTCTAGTGTCAACTTTTTTTTTTTTTTTTAAATCAGTGAGCCTATCATTCTCTAGGTTATTACTTAAGTGATATTTAGAGTTTCAGTAGTTTTTTAAAAATTTATTTTAGCATGACAATAAATCGCCAAGATACAGACTAAAAACATAACATGATCGGGATTATCAAAAAGCAAGGTCACACTTACTTGTAATCTTCATTTGCTGCGGTAAAAACAAAAGCTTCCATGGGGTTCCAACACAGTGTATTTGTCCTCATGTTCAAGATAACCTGAAAGATTTTACACATTGCCACCTTGTTATAGGCAGTAAAATACTCACTATAGTTCAAAACTTCCTATATCACTGGAGACAAGCACTTTCTAGATAAAGAATTATGGCAGAGGAATAGTGACATGAGAGGACATTTCCTCAGCAGTGTTAGAATTGGAACTCAAGAACTTCCTATCCCTCATCATATGCACACTGCTTTGTGCTACATGGCAATTAGATTTCCCTTTCTAAGCCATCTTAGAAACAAACTCTTCTAAGCGGTCCTTTGAAGTGCAAACATGTTAGTGGCCAACACATAAGCCTGGAACTTCTGAAAAATTTCAGTTCTCCATCATGTTTATAGGAACCTTTAGTTAAGTAATCTATAAACACACCTGATTAAATGGTTATTTCAAGATATACAGTCATTAATTGACACTGTGAACCGGCATCTCTGAAGTGATTGTAACTTCTGTCTTACAATTTCTGTTCTTCCAGTTATTACTATCCCTTCTTTATTTTATGCTCCAGGCCAGTCATAATCCTACTTGGAAAATCCTGAAGTTTGGGTGTTTAATGCTATGTTACTCCAAACTAATTTTTGTTCTCAACTTACTATACCAAACATCAGAAATTTACATACATATGAAAAAAATATACAGTTGTACAATTATAACTTTTATAGTAACAAACACAATCTCAAAGCAAGTTAATAGTGATGACCTCTACTGAAACCTTCCCCACAAAAGAGATTGTGATTTTATGAGTGTATGCATATTCTCATGGTTCTCATTCTCCTTAAGTCCTCATTTCCTAGGTGACATTATCCTGTTCAATGTAAAGTCTGTGCTGCGAAATACAGCTCATTTTCAGAAATTACCTGCATCCAGAACTGAATGTAATCATCCGATGTCTAAAGTGATCTCTAATTTAAAAAGGACTTTACTGAAAGGATAGGCCACTGAAAGGCCCTATGTATACAGTAATGTGATAACTAGAATTTGTTCAGATTTCTATAATGTTCTTCTAGTTATAAACTTTGCACATATCTGGGAAACTAATAATCAAGGAAGGCTCTTTATTCTTCCCTGTCCAAGATTTTCAGCCACTGTAAAATGAGTCCATGATTAATGTTAACACATTATATGTATAATAGATATTTTAAATCATGACACAAAGTAACTCTAATATTGCTGAAAAATCCAGCTCTTTTTCAAAGGGGGACAGGTTTGGGCAAAGTCCATGCTCCACATCTTGCTCCACTATTTTTGCACCCAAATTTACACGCATTAATCTATCCTCCTTTACTACCTGCAAGGTATTTGGTTGAGTTAACAGCTAAGAATGCTATAAGCAATGGACAACACAGTTCCTGTCAGCTGTCTAAACAGTAAAGTCTGCCTTTACAACATCCTAAGTTTTCTTGAGATCTCACAGGTTGCACAAGAATAACTTAAAGTGTATCAACTTCTATTAAAATATCTTCCTCTCGTCATGCAACAGGAGCGCTTCCCTTCATCTTTTCCCAGCTTTTTAGACTAGTTCTTATTTTGCACTCAGGCAGCATCTCACCATCTTATCCATCCCTCTTTGAAACTTAAGACTTCAAAACTCGCAGACAGGACGAACAGACAAGAGAGGTACTGCTTTATGATCTCGAAAGTTGTACTCTTATTTCCATTAAAGAAGGAAGTCCCACCAAGTTCCAAGCTCAGGGCTGCGTTTGAGCTGCTTTGCTGATCAAACACCAGGACCACAGCAGTGCTAGAAGCCAGTATCCGTAAATAGGTAAGATTCCTCTAATAAGCAGCACCCTTCTCTTGGGACTTACAGAGCTCTTGGCTCTCTGCAGAAATGGACATCCAGCCCGCCTCTCCGCAGGAGAGTCATTGCTAGCCCGGCAGGAAACCCAGCACTGTATCCATGGATGCAAGGAAGCATTTATCAGCATTTTACTCCTGCTGCAGCAAATGCACCTCAGCATGCTACTTACTACATGAGATACACATATATACATATGTGCACACATGTGTGTACATGCACATGTATGTATACTGCTATATATTTAGCATGTCTACATATGTAAAATTCTGTTAGATTCAAACTTAGTTCACAAAGGCTCAAAACTATGTCCTTTTAACTTGTAACTGCAGATCTACAGCACTGGCTGTGTTCATTCTGACATTCAGGTCTCCAATTGGCATCACTGACAGTTTTTAAAAACACCATCTCAGTGGCCCAAATGAAACTTCATTAAAAACTGTGGAGGCACAGGGAGAGAAAGAAATACTGTTATGCCAACAACGTTCCTATTTTCTAACTAAGTTAAGTACCATTGTACTGTTCTAGTATATATCAGACCAGTGCAGAGAGTGCATAACATACCAGAGGGATACTGAGTGTACATTTACAGGACAGAATACTGTATTTCAAGAGAATTGTTAAGATACTTCTGGGGCTCAAAACCACTGAACTTGATCAATTACATATAAATTACTGGCTTCTTGTTTTAAATAAATGCATACATTCTCTTAAAGATAAATAGGAATCTTCATGTCATTAGTAAATTCCACATGTAAACACAGTTTTGATTCCACTGCAAAGGATTTCTGAATGTTTGTACTATGTGCATAGGGGAGGGTTTATCTCCATGCAAAAGAAAAACACCTTTTCAAATGCAGAGCAAGGCTCTCCAATACTGGAAAGGAAATGCCTTAGAAGTTACCTTGTTTCCTTCTGGCAAAGAGCAGAAATAAAAATAAATAAAAAAATTTAAAAAACACACATACACAGACAGAATGCAATATAGGAACATAAAGTTCTTATTGTGAAATTGCTGTCAGGTCGGACGCTTTATCAAGAATTACAACAGAGTGAGCATGACAGTCCGTCTGAATGCAGAAAAGGGCCCTTCTAACTCTCTGTGACTTAAATCCCAACATTAATTCAAACTCAGTTAAAAGACTCAAAATTAGACGATGAAAACTGAGTGAACTCACAGTTCAGAGCTTCCCTTTCTCTATCCTCAACAGTTACAGACTATTTTCATATTCAGTATCATTATTAGTACCATAAGCTTCTGTTAAAAAGAAACAGATTACCTTCTTTAATGGAGTTGATTTTCTCATATCATATAGCACAATATTTCTGTCAGAAGCACAGCTTCCCAAAAGGTATGTCTAAAAAAAAGAAGAAAAAAAGAAAACAAAGAAAACAAGTATGTCGGGTCTTCTAAACACTTCTAGAGTATGGTTAACAGCTTACCTTAGATACCTAAGCTATTGCACAAAGCTGGTTCCTTTTTCAATCAAGGAAAGACATTCATCATTCTTTCTGTGCAGCTAATTATTCAGCAGAGACATTTTAAATCATTTTCCCCGTAAGGTTCAGAATCCACCCAGTCCTCTCTACTTCACAAGTAACAAGCAATTCCTCATAAACACTTCATCTACAAACACAGCCCAGCCAAGATGTATATAGGAACTTCTGTAGAAGCTCAAATGCAATTGTTTTGCCAAGGAGAAGGGGAGAAGTCTTGGTCACAGGGAGAACAGTACCGGAACAGATGAGAGCTCCACAGCCACATAATCACTACATTTCATGACTGAGGTATGAGATATGTATTGCTGTGGGCAGAACAGAGACCACCCTACTTTTCTTTCTCCTCTCCCTGACTAAGAGACAAAAGATAAAAAGATGAAAATATATGGTGCTACATTCCGAAGCAATATAGACATAAAAATATATGTTTACACCCCCCTAAATATTATGTTAAAACACATATCAAAATGTAAATTTGGAAAAAAGCCATTAAAGATGGTGTTAATAGAGTTTAGATCTTATACTAATCAAGAAAAATATTGATTTCCAGTATGTAACAGAAATATTACCTCAATGGGATTAAATTTTACACTGCTTATGCTGTCAAAACCCCAGGTCAGAGAACACATGGGACTTGTCCTTTGCTCATCCCAAATGTCCACCTGATGGCCACAGGTGGCAAAAACAGCTTCCTTCCAGTGGTGATCAATGCCTGTATACACTGTCTTTAAAAGAAAAAAAAAAAAAAAAAAAAAAAAACAAAAAACCACCAACACAATTTACAAAACCAATTGTATAGATAAGTACGCAAGTATGTTCTGTTACAAAAAAGATCAACAAATCATTGCATATCAAGTCTGCTGTATTTTTATTCATTTATATTACTGAAAACCAAGTCACCACTGCTACCAGAAACTAAGTCTTGTCAGTTGTACCCTTACTATAGACTAGCATTCTGTGTACTCACCTAAGGTGCATGCATTTCTTGTTAATCTACAGTGGAGTTAGCATCAGAAGCCCATTTACAAAGTCCTGACTGACTTAAAAGCAAATGGAAATTTTAAGGGTACAACTACAAATTTTCAGTGGGGACCCAAACAGATTCCATAGACATTACAATAATTAAAGGGTTTCAGATTCTCTATTTACAAAAAGCATTTAATGATATTCTTAAAATAAGCTTATCATAAATTAAAGTGTTGAATGTATTTTTAGTCTGCTTTTGTCAAAAAGAAAAACGTAAAGTTAAAATTCTGTGTTGAATGGCTGTGAGGTTTTGGCATGAAAAGAAAGTTATTTAATGCAGACTAAGCACTGACAACACTAGTCTGAAGAGAAAGAGACTACAGAAAGATCTGAGCAGTTCACAGGGAAGGGATGATCAGTGGAGACAGCTCTAAGCAGCCTCTGCTAGCATCTGAGATATTCCTTTCTGGTTACATGTAAAAAAAGACTAATAAAACTTGAAGATACTTTAAAATTGCCTTTATAAAATTTGATGCCATCACCTTACAACCCATTATGATAACAGGTGATATCAAACTATTTCTCTCTTCTCTGAAAGCTAGATAAGAATTGGTTCAAACTTAATTCAAAAGAAGAGATGTGAGAAAAATCAAAACTTAGATTTACTACCTTTCCAAGAATTGTATGAATAGGTTCTTCTTCTTCTCCATATTCTGGGCTCTCCATTTTCCACTGCTTCACAGTTTTGTCATCACCAACCTGAAAATTTTGGAGAAAGCATGTACAGTTTTACGCAAATATATTATGTTTATTTTACTAGACGTGCTTTGCAATTAACTACAGGCAGCCTTTCAAAGGGGAACGATCCATGACATACACAGAAGTGCTCTCTCCTTCCTATTCACTGTTCCCTTTTTCACCTCCAAGATGAAGATTAGTTCTCCTCATCATAATATTTCACTAGAAACTGAGAAGGCACAGGTACATCATCTTGCTGGATGGAGTTAACATTTTTCATAGTAGCCCATGTGGCACTGTGTTGTGAATTCATGGCTAAAACAGTGCTGAGAAGGCACCAGTATCTGGGCTACTGCTGAATAGTGCTTGCACTGTGTCAAGGCATCTCCCCCTGCCCCCATCAGTCATCATCCCTGCCTTCCCCATCAGCGAATACGCTAGGTGTGGGAGGACTGGGAGGGGAAACAAGTGTGACAGATGACCTGAACTGGCCAAAGGAGTATTCCATACCATATAACACCATGCTCAGCAACAGAAACTGGGGTACTGGAAGAAGAAAGGGGAGGCGGGGGCTAGCTTCCAAAGTGGCTGCTGCTCAGAGACTGTCTGGGGATTCGTCTGCTTGTGAAAGCAAGTGACTGATTTCCTGCTTGCCACCATGTCCCCCACCACCTCTCCTTCACCTATTCAACTGTCTTTATTTCAATCTACAAGAACCTATCCCAGTTTTCGAAAGACGTTATTCCAGGGTTGAATAAGAAAAAGGCGAGCTGGAACAGTGATTATTATTTCAGGCTACACTTTCCGACTCTTAATCAAATGGCACCTTAAAATGCAAATTGCCTTCTGGAAGTAATTTTGATGAGCACATGAGCAGTTAAAAGACACTTTCCACCTCAGGTGCTCCGGTTGCCTGTTCCTAATGCCATGATACCTCTTGCACTATGCCAGCACAAGCTTTTGCATGGTTGTGCAATGACCTGGATCAGGAAAACTGGCCAAAAAAAATGTTAGCTATTCAAGTTTCACTTTCCCTCATGACAGTACTACTACTGTTTATTCTTCCCTCTCTCAATTTTCAGGCAGAGGGACTTGTTAAAAGGGGTTCTAATTTGGAGTCACTTAAAATTTTTTGCTATGACTTCCCCTACATCCTAACTACTGCCCTCATGACCTGGTATGTACTTCAGAAAAGATAAATATATAGTAGTGAAAATAGCTTGTCTATGTCCAACTCAAAAGAAGCAAAACCTCAGGCCACTTGAGTCTTCAGAACCAATTATTTTTATTGTATCATCTTAAAATTGCTTTAATGCAAACAGGAAGCCATACTATTTCCAGATGGTTTACATGCAACTGAATCAGTTGTGGTTGATCTAAGTTAAAAAAGCTTAACATGGAATCATCTGGACTTAGTTTATCTCTAATCATAGTATATGCAAATGGTTACTTTTTTAAGCGTTCGTATGTCTTTCAATGAATATTATCTACTACTTTAACAAAAACTACTTTACCCACATTTTAATTACATGATCATCCGCTAGCAGTTTTCTGGTATGTACCCCTTCCATAGTCTTGAATAACATTTATACCACAGCATCAAAAAAAAATTTAATCAGAAATAGAATTGTCAGGTTCACTGGCAAATTTAATAAACTTACTCTGACATACAATATTTAAATATTGTATGAGTAAATTGCTCACTGGAAAACAGATGGTGAACAGGCACTCTGTACTGATACACTGTACTAAGGAGACACATACTTACAGTAAAGAATGATGTACCACAGAAACGAGCACACATGCCTCGAACAAAGCCTTCATGGGCCTGTATAGTACGAATACACTGTCGTTTGGTCAAGTTCCAAATTTTAACCTGTTAAAAACAGAAAAGTATTCTGTTGTGATTTAAGCTTTCTACAGCCCACAACTGCAATTCATAATTCAAGTACAAGAGATCACATGTGTTGTAACAAAATGGCATAGCTGGCTTGAACACTGGTCAGATTTTATAATGTTAAAACTAATTCATTATTCTCTTTTTGAAAAAAAAAAAAAAAATTTAAAGTGCGGATCTTTCCTTGTTATCCCTTCCTCACATCCAAGGTATATACTTACTGTACTTCTGCATTCCCCTACTTCTGAATTAGAATTATTGCTAAAAGACAGCAGGAGTGACAATTTTAGCAAAAAATACCCCCTAAAGAGAAAAGCACAAGGAAATAGACTTGGGAACCAACAAAATGTTTTCAGTCCAGTTGCTGTACTACATTTTATACAGATGTCCACCTCTCATGGAGGTTTTGGTTTCAGAGCATTTGGGCCCATTTAAAAAATAAAGAACTGGAGATCAGTTTTTATATTTGTATGTATTTACAGCACCCAGTACATTACTTGCTTTATCAGTGGATAAGAAATCTGGCCAACGTTTCATATAAATTTATTCCCTTCCCCTCTGAAAAGGTTAATCTCCCTTACAGTACTGCATGACATAGGCACTATTTTTCAATAAAAAGCAGAAAACAACCAGCTACCTGGAAGACACATTTAAAACTACTATCAAATGAACAACGTAACGGTGAGAGAGAACAGAGAATACAGAAGAGACAATCAATTTTTTACTGCAATTGATTCCAATTAAAGTATCCTTGCTTGCTATTTGTAATATTTATGTAAAACAATCAGACAAATACCGAGTTAGCATTTTTAAGCAATATGATAAATTATTATTTAAACAAGATTTTGGTTGTGTGCCCCTTCCCCCTAGCTCATCTGACTTAATGTGATCTTCTTATTCTGCAACAATTTAACTTCTTCAGGGGAAGGAAAGGGGTCACACGTGCAGCAAAACGCAATCACTATGGACCGTAAACATTAACTTTCACTGCTCCATCCTGAGGAACTGAATGTCACACCCTCTGCTCACAGCTGAAAACTGCCCCCTTTGTGTGCCAGGAGAATACAACCTGCAGTTTGAGAAACACTGCCCCAAACTGGGTAAATTGCACCTTGAGAGAAGACAGGGTATCACTATGAACAAGGACACAAAATAAAGATAAGCAGGGGGCATTTGGAAAAAAAAAAAAACAACAAAACAAAACAAAAAAAAAAAAACACACACAAAAGAGAAAATAAAAAACAAAAGAAGGAAGAAAGGTACCTTGTTTGTTGTGGTTTGTAACTGCAGCTTACCTCTCCATCACAAGCTCCAGACAGCACTGTAGACAAACTCTTTGGATGTTTGGCCATGCAATTAACTCCATCTCTGTGGCCATCAAGTGAGCTAAGAAAGGGTTTTGCAAACACACGTTCTAGCTTTGTTGCATTCAGAGCTCTTGTGTACTCTCGTGGAACTTCAAATGGATGCAGCACAGGGTCATAGTTTCTTGGAACTGCAGTAAGAGTAGCAGACACGTTAGAAACCCATGGTATGTAATATAGTTCCAAGGTAAGCTGAATTCAGAGACTCTTCTCTTTCATTTTCCTGCCATGGGAGAGTTTTCTGCAACACCAAGATTTTTGCCATTCCTACTGTTTCAAAATTGATCCATGGGATCATTAGTATGCTCACTTAACAAGCTTGAAGTTAGCAAAGTCTGAAATAACTCTGAAATTATTTGCTGTCCTTTTCAAGGGAACTGTAATGTACACAGCGAACTGGAAGTTGCAGCTATCTTGCAACTATGATTTATAAAATAAAAACAACCACAAAGGAAAGAAAAAAAAAAAACAACCACCTACCACAAAACTCCAATATAAACAGAAAGGACACAGCTACATGGTCACGCACAAAGAGACACAACCTAGCTCTCTTCATGTTTCGTCAGCTGCAAGCCAGCTCTGGCTCAGAAATGAGACTCATTTTCATTAGCTTGGTCCTCTGCTAACCCCATCTGGTTTCCAAGAAAGGAGTGTTTACATCCAACAAGCTTCAAGTAAGTGTCTCTCTGCATCCACCTACCCACACAGATATACCTTACAATAAATTGAGAAAGACAGCGGATATAGACACTTTGTTTCTGTTTTTTTGTCTTTCATTCCCTTTCATGCAAAAAGATTGAAAAGTCAGTAGAGCAACTGACAACAGATCACCCATTAAGAACTGATACTTAGTTCAGTCTGCTGGTTTCCAAAGACTATTCCATGCATACCAAAACCTCTAAAATCTCTGATGAAATGGAGTTGGGTATCAGCCTATAATGTGATGGAGAATTTGATTTAACAGCTTACCCATAGCTCCTACTTAGAAAATTATGATGTATACAGCTACGGTCCCAGCAAGTAACTTCAGTAATATTTTTCCATGTTATGCGTACATAACCTCAATTAAATACCTAGAAAATGTTAGTTACGATGCTACTTTGCACAACACAGCCACCTACCTCTAATCCAATCAAATAATGAAACATAAGGAACTTAAAATAATAGGTCTATTGTCCTGCTCAAAAGTTTGAGTTGTTGTAGCTAAGATGCCCACAGTTTTATTCCTGCTCTTCCTAACAAAAGGTGCTCATTTTACAAACTTTATTTCTGACACTAGGTAGAAACTAAACCTCATTTCTACCACGTTACAGAGATGAAACCACACGACTGTGTAAGACCAGGTCCGCAGAACAGAGCATGGGAAGCCATCTCCTCGCCCATCAGGCTGCGGCTGCTGCGTCTGAAACTGCGGGAAACCCGCGTGATTTTTGCCGCTTTTAATAAGGGACGGGCGAGAAGCGGGATGAGCTGCACCGGGAAAGAAGCAGTAAAACACTGCTAAGGGTAACCGAGGCGGTGCTGGGAGCAATCTCCGGGTACCAGCAGGGTGACTCCGCACCGCCGCCCTAATGGCGTCCCCGGCCCCTCAGCGCCCGCACTTCGGCTGCCGCGTCCCTCCGCACTCACGCCACGCCACGCCACGCCACGCCACGCCACGCCAACGCCCGGGACAGCCGCCCGCGGGGGACCGCCCCCAGGCCCCGTCGGTGCCGGGCCACTGGGCGCATGCGCGGGGCGGCCGTGACGGCGGCTTCCTTCGCCCACCGGCCGAGCGCGGAGCGACGATCGCAACGCGCCGGGGGCTCGCGGCTGAGCACCCTGCCCCGGGGGGGGGGGGGCATGGCAGCTCGGCCGCGAGGCAGGGCCGGTGGCCGCTCCAGCGCCTGCCCGCCTTCCCTCCTTCCTCGGCCGTCCCGGGCGGGCGGCAGCCGAGCCCAGCCCCGCTCCGCTCCGCTCCGGGCTCCCCGCTCACCGCGCTGCAGGTCCAGCTTCGTGTCGCGGACATAGTCGTCGGGGTTGCGGCTCAGCACCTTGACCCGCATCCTCGCCCTCCGCGCACCACGCCGCTCCCGCCCCTGCGCGTCACCGGACGCGCCGCGCGGGCTGTTCTCGCGCGACGCCGCTCCTCCTCCCCCCTCCCCCGGGACCCGCGGTCAGCCCGCGGCGGGCGCGAGCGCCGCCTCCGCCGCGCGCCCTGCCCCCCTGCCCGCGCGCCGCCCGTGGCGATGAGCGCCCCGGGGTCCGCGCGCGCCGCCGAGGCGCCGCCGCCGCCGCTCCCGGCCGCGCGGTCCCTCCTCCGGCACGTGCGGCTGGAGAGCATGGCGGCCGGGCTGAGCGGCGGCGTCGTCTCCACCCTGGTGCTCCACCCGCTGGACCTGGTCAAGATCCGCTTCGCAGGTGAGGCCGGGGCGGCGGGGAGAGCCCAGAGCCTGCCGCCGGGACGGGCCGTGCGTTGTGCTACGCGTGTGCGCACCCGACGGGGCTCGCCGGTTCCCAGCCCGTGACCTACCGGCTGGTTGGTTTTGGTTTGGTTGGTTTGGTTGGTTTGTTTGTTTGTTTTCTGGAGGGAGAGGCCCGCCGGGCGAGCCCGCACGTTTCTGCCCGGGCCTGTGGGCGATTTCGTGACAACGGGCGCTGACAGGCACACACACACACACACCCCCCCCACACCCCCCCGCTTGAAATCGACAGGCCGCGGGCTGAAAGGGGACGGTCTCTGGTTCTTCCCCGCCCCGGTCCCAAAGCTCAATCTTCCTGTCATTTCTGGGGGCTGCAACAAGGGCGGCGTGCCTCAGGCTGTTTTGGGGCTGCTCAGAGAGCTGACCAGGCTTTTCCCCCCTCTTCCATGACCACCAGCGTCATAGGACACGGCGAGACTGGTTTTAGGAGGCAGGTTGTCTCAAGCCAATGCTCAAAGGTCACCTTTATGCCAAAGATTTTCAACACTCAAAGCATAACGATTTTATAATAATCTTGGTTGTTAACAGTAGTGGTATTGTTTTACAGAAAACTCCTAACTTCTTTGGTTTTCTTCAGGGAAATGTGTTAACTTCTCCCTTTTGACTTTGCTGCTAATATGAGAAACATGTTGCCCTTTTATCATATTATCTTCTACAGCGTTTGAAACATTTTGCTGTATTTTTGGATTATCTTAAAGGGATAAATGGGTGTTTAAGATCTCAAAACCAAAGTGAACTATTACAGACAAGTTTGACAAAATCGAAAGAGTTGCATTTCCAAACAGACTTTCTACAAAGTTGGACTTAAACAACTCCTTGCATATCCTAGTGTGAGCACATCCTGGGCTGCCTTATGAAGAGCGTCGCTAGCAGAAGTGCTTCTTTCTCTCTGCTTTGCACTTGTAAGACTTCGTCTGAAGTACCACGTCTAGTTTGGGGCTCACCAGTACGAGGAAGACATTGGCATACTGGCCTGATTGCAGTGGAGGCCACCAGGCCGGTGCAGGGGCTGAAGCACGTGACGGAGGAGTACAGACTGACAGAACAGGATCGGTTCTGCCTCACGCAGGGAAGGCTGAGGGGAGATACTGTCACAGTCTATGACTGTATGATTAAAGGATGCAGAGAAGGTGAAGCCAGATTCTTACTGGAGATGAACAGTTGTAGGGCAGGAGGGAACAGGCACAAGCAGGAACATGGAAAATTCCAATCATTTAGTAGGAAAAAGGGCTTTTACTGTGAGAGTGGTCACATACTAGAAGAGGTTACCCAGAGAGTCTGTAACCTCTTCGGCCTTGGAAACATTCGGGAGCTGACTAGACCTGATCTAGTTAGATCTGTTCTGAGCAGCAGATTGGATTAGGTGACCGCTAGAGGTCACTCAATTTCACATGCTTGTTTGGGTTGAAAATAACAATTACTGTGTTTTGTCTTCAACCAGGAAGTAAGACCTGATACCAGAAATCAATGTTGTGAAGATTCTCAGCAGCGCTGTTGACAAACAGACTTGCATTCATGTCTCTGACTTCTCACGTTGTTTACTGTGTTTATAAACCTGACCTAATGGCAGCATGGTAGAAAAATTCAGAAAGGTCTTTGGGAAGAGTCTAGCGGTGCTCATTCAGGAGGGAGAAAAGAGGCATTTAATTTCTGTTCTAGTTTTAACTTAATTTGTGTTCTAGTTTTAAGTGATTGTTGAGGTATTGAGACTTTGTCACAGTGTGCTCAGAAAAAGAACTTTGTCTTTAGCCCTAAATTCTGTCACAATGTACAGTACTATACACAAAGTTCAAAGGAGAATGAATAATAAATGTGGCACTGAACAGAAAACATCTGAAATTCATGATTACCAGGATTAATATTGATGGGCACACAAGATCAACACTGACTGTAAAACTTTGAGATTAATTTTCAGTAAAATTGCAATCTATCCTTCTATATTAAGAACAAAAGCTGCTGCTATGTTGGCATCCTAGAATAATTTAGGTCAGAAGAGATCTATGGAATTCACCCCCTACTCAGATAAGGTCTGCTTAGATCAGATTGCTCAGAGTCTTGTTTGCTAGTTTTGAGTAGCTCCAGAGATGCCTCTTCAGGCAACTTGTTCCAGTATTCGTTCACTCTGATGCTCTGTTGGAGAAAAAGTTCTGGTCAGAATTCCCTCTGTTCCAGCTTGTGTCTGTTATCTCTTGTCATCACACACATCATCAGTAATCAACTTACTCTCTTGCTGTTATGGTAGGTGCAATAGTAGTTACCACTCTAGGTTGTGTGAACATCCGTGTTCTAAATTAAGTCTGTCAAACAAAAACTTGCATGATTTAAAGAGGAAGATTTAAGAGTTGTTATCTGGGGCTTGTCTGAACTGCTTATAGAAATGTGTTGTCAAAGACCCCATATGCATCACTTGAAATATGATGTGAAATTGCTGGGGCACTAAGAAGAGGAGACAGAAAACAACTGAAAGCTGCTGCTGACCAGAAAATGCATTTAGTTAGCCTTGTCAGATTGATGGCAACTTGACTCTTGCAGAGCTTAAAATTTTTTTTTCTTTTTCTTTTTTTTTTTTTTTTTGTTAAAGATCTTTAGACTTACAAAGCTGTAAACCCTAACTCCTGCGTACTTTTAAAAGAATACTTTTAAGATACAGCTGATCAGTTATATTTCATGTTCATTTGCAGCTTGGAGGCTTTGTACTTCTGTGGTGGCCTTTACACAGCTGAACTTAATGCTTTCTGAAATGTTCTGCAGTATAATTTCTTTCTTTCATAGTAAGCGATGGATTGGAGCTAAGGCCAAAATACAATGGGATTCTCCACTGTATGACCACTGTCTGGAAGCATGAAGGACTCCGAGGCTTATATCAAGGGGTAACTCCAAACATGTTGGGAGCAGGGGCTTCCTGGGGACTTTACTTTTTCTTGTAAGTAGAGCTGTAGAATGTGTCAAATCCTGTGTAATGTAATGTTCAGATATATGCTGCATCTTCTTTGGAGAGTATCAAAACGTGTTAAGTGGCTTATAAAATTGTGATTCTTCTAGTAAGTCCAGGTCTGTTACCTTTTATTATGGTTTGCTGTTTTAGAACTTAAGCAATTTGAGTCAGAGACCAGTTACTTTGTCCAGTACAGTGCATTCCCTTGATGCTGTGAAAATACTAAGGAACTTGAGAGATGGTGACATCATTCATGAAGAATTCTCTAGAAGTCCTTATAGACTGTGCTTAAAACCTCATGAAAAATGAAAACCTAAACTAACGTGTTAAGAATTAGAGAACATGAAGAAGATTCCTACTAATGCTAAATGTTTAACTGGTTGTTAATAATTTTAACGACAGTCAGCTCTTTCATTGTTTTTGTGAGTTGCCAGGCTTTGCTCATAAAGCCTGTTTTCTAATACTTTATTAGTCATGTAACTGTGACCTCATTTACTGCTGATCCCTATTAATTCAAACAGTTAAGTGATAGTTAGTTGGTATGCGCCTATGCAAACCTTACTTGTCAGTTGTCTAGACTGTTGTTATAATTCTGTCCTCAAGCTTTGCTATAGATTCCTATTAATGATTCAGGTCCTGTTGACAGTTTCTCAATCCACAAAGACTGGAAACTGGATCAAGAGAAGAAAGCTCAGTGTATTTCTGAGCTAGAAGATAGATACCTGTCACTTTTGCTCTCAATAAAAAGGAGGCTATCTAATCGATTTCTCTTGGAAGCTAATTCTTGAGATCTGATAGCTGTTTCAAGATGCAGTCGCACTGATACCGACAGTCATGCTTTATCAATTTAAATACGTATTATCATAGTTTACATTAGAGAGATAACTGCTCAGAGATCAGTTAATCAACTAAACAAAGATAGATTGCTTAGATATGTTTCAAAGGCTGTGTACCACCTAATTTTTTTAATATCTTAAGTGAGGTGTTTTGGGGCTTTTTTTAGTGATGTAGATTTGTTTTCACCATTACCAAAATATATTTTACATTTTCCAGTTACAATGCCATCAAAGCTTACAAGAAGGAAGGGAAGCTGGAAAGTCTCAGTGCTACTGAACACTTAGTGTCAGCTGCAGAGGCTGGTGAGTTTAAATGCAAGGAAGATTAATGTTTGCTTCTGACCTTTCCGTATGTTGCTCCTGCCTTTGTGTGCCAGTGCTGCTTTTTCTTACAGGTGACAAGTGTAAGTGTCCGAATACAAATGCAATCGTTTATTGTCTGTAAATAAATTAATTATGTCTGACATGAATAGATGAATCACTGTGGTCTTTTCAGTTTTACTTAGAAATAGTGGTTGTCAAAATACCTTTTGACCATGTTTTCACTGTGTGTAAGTACTTCCCATATTTAGTACTATATCGTGTCCCAAAATATAACTGTATAAATCTTCTATCGGCTTGTTAACTCATTAAATGTTTAACACTTATACCTAGAAAAGAGACGGCCTATTGAAGTTAATAGAATAAGTGAATTGCTCACTGGTCTTTCAGAATCTTTATCTATAGTCCAAGTTTTCTTGGAAACTAAAGACTTTTAGTATGTTGTTTCTTACATATGTTCTTGTACATGCTTCTGTGTGGTATTTAGGCAATTGAGAAGACTTTTTATTAGGCTGTTGGAGCATTCATTTAATGTTGAGATATAAGGAATATTGTTTGATGTGAAAAATGGTAATGGATTATTTTACAACTGTATATTCAATAACCTGTACATTTACAACAGATTGCTTCTATTAACCTGTCAGTATGATTAAGCAAATTTCTGATGACTGAAGAGGTGTCCATTAAATTTTGAACAATTGTATATCCAAAGAATAACTAGGGTAATCAGGAGTACATTAAGAAATTACTTATGTTTCCTAGCTATTAGAGATTACACTGCTGACTGTGGAATGGTTAAGTAAAAAGGGATGTACTAGGAATATGCAAAAAGCCATATGCTCTACAGAGGTACCCCAAACAGAATTAGATTGGACTTGATAATGAGCTTTGAAGGCAGAGAGAGGGAACAATGGTGGGCATAAACTTCACCTGTTTTAAGTAACATGAGTACTGTTGTAGGCTAGGTGGTTTTGTCATTGTAGAAGCCTGTGTTACATTGGACTGAACAAACTGGGAGAAGCTTTGGAGTTGGCATAACAACCAGTCTAACTTCCATCTGTTCTCAGGAGCCATGACTCTCTGTATGACAAACCCAATATGGGTAACGAAGACACGACTTGTGCTACAATACAACGCTGGTGTTGATCCATCAAAGCGGCAATACAGCGGAATGCTTGATGCTCTTATAAAGATATACAAGATGGAGGGCATACGTGGCTTATATAAGGTAATAAAATTGAAGAAAAATTCCAGGATTGGCTGGTGCCACTCAGTAGCATGGTGAGACTTGTAAATACTCATCTACAAAAAAAAAATAAGGCAAATAATTTTTTCTATTAGCTCAGCTACTTTTATTCTATGCGTCTTCTTTCCCACTGAAGAACTGCAGTGAGAAGGCTTAATCAGAAGAAAAGCTATTATACTATTGAAATGTAAGAAATCACTGACAAATAGCGTGTAAACTTTATGGCTAAGCCATCTTCTATTAGGTGATAATGCTGAAACGAGAGCCAGCTACAATCTGCTTTTTAATTTTTTGGGAGTCTTCCTATAATTAGAATTTGGATAAGGAGGGCAGCAGTAGCATAATCTATCTTGCTGCTAGTGCTTTCTTCCATTTCATCCCTTATCTCTGTCTTTCTGACATCTTGTGGAACATAACGTATGACTAAAGTAGTTGCTAATATTTTATTCCACAATGGACAGTTTCACAACTGCTCATTTGCCCTGTAGTCATTGAGGTATGTAATCTGTCATCTCTAGGTCCATAAAATTTGCAGACTTCTATATATGGTCTGTGTATGTGTGGGGTTTTTTATTGCCTTTAATTTAGGGACACAGATGGCAACTGGATTTGGACTTTTTGCCTCCTCTTTGCTTCAGGACATGACATCAAGATGCATTCATCACTGCCTGGAAGGTGTGAAGAAACCTATTCTAGTTCGGTCTGGCTCTTCTGCAAGTAATGCTATAGAACAAGAACACTATCTCGTAGGAATTATCCTGATTACTGAACATTAATTTCTTCTATTTGAGGGCAAAGTATAATCCTTCCTAAGCTGAAAGACTAGTATGCCACATACTGATGAATGCCAAATTCTGACACCAGGAACAAGGCACCTTACTTATTCCTAAATTGAAATTGTCAGGATTTCTGATTTTCCTGATTGGATGTCTGCTCTGTTCCATGTAGATAAATTCTAATTTCTTGCATCTGCTAGGGTTTAAGATGTCCTTCCACTGAGTTACTTTTCAGATTATTCATGCATGTAGCATGTGTTGCCTTTGGTACTAGACACTTCTTTTCAGCATTAATCTGCAAGTGAGGAACTAAACCCGGTACTTCCTTTGAAAGAGCAGACTACTTGCTTAAATCTGCAAAGAAGGTGACCCAGATAGGTCCTGGGTGACCTAAATAACTATGCATACTGAGCAATTTTCATTTGACATCAGGATTCTCTCAACCTTGTCTATACTGGGGAGGAAGGCACCTCTTTGGGCTTGACTTGTTCATACTTTAGCCTTCCTCCATTTTGTTGTTGGGGGAATTTTCTTTTTTTCTCTTTCTTGCTTTATTTTAAATTTGATGGCTGAAGTATTGTTAATTGCCCTGAGTTGCAGGAGCTGTAGTGCATACTAATGGTCTTTTTCCTCATAATCTTAATTTCAGATAAAATTCCCTGTAGCAAATAATGGGATCTTGGAGAGTACCACCACGAGTAGGAAATAAAATATGGAAGTAGTTTCTTTCTGGTTAATTTGAGATTAGTCTTCTAAAGAATGGTATTTATATTCAAGCATTCTGCATCTTGCTCTCTATTGCACAAGAAGCTGTTGCTGGTCTGAGCTATTCGTTTCAATCCTTTGGGACACAAGACTAGTAATATCAGGATGCTTCAATCTTTCTAGCAGGGATCAAAGCTGTCTTTTATTAGTTCTGTTGGGTATTGTTTGTTCGTTAAGCTATAGTTCATCTGAAGCTGGGTTCCTCAATAACTTGTTCTCCTTGAAACTGGCCTTGTTTTGAAAAGACAGGAGCGTTGCCTTCACTGATTATCACAGTAATCATCTAGTTAGTGATCTTCCCCACTCTCCATCCACTGGGCTTTGTTCTTTGTCCTCAGTCTCCCATATGACTGGGGACAGAGCTGCTGTGCTGCACATCAGGCTAGGATAAAAAACAGCTTGAGTTTATGTAATTTGAACACAAATCCGTGTTAGATCTGTTGGAGATCTGACCTATAAAAATTACTTTTCCATGTAGTTGAATGTCATGCAAGCATCTCCATGTAGAGTGCGCTGTATGGTTCTTTTCAAGTGTAAGGCAGGAGAGACCAAAATCTTAAAATAATCGTAAGATTGTAGGAGTTGGCATTTCCAGACAAACATAAACTATCTCTGAACTCTTGGGAAACCGATGTCTAGTCTGGAGTGACTGATGACTAAAATATCGATCAAGAATGCAACTAACATTCTTGCTGGCTTTCACGCTTCTGTATTCGTATTTTCAGTTCTGTTTCAGTGATGATGTAGAAGCAGCAGTTACAGATAGAGCAATGCTTAATAGACAACAGTAAAATAAACAGGAAGTGCAGAAAATTTAAGAAGATTGAAGGAATATATAGAGTCATCAAGACTGAGAATGATAATGCGGTAAGCTAACAACAGCAACTAAAAAATCCTAGCAGTAACATGTGCTCATTAGCAAGTGAATTAGATACGTTGGACACTATATTATCATTTCACCTTTCGTAGGCAAGATTCTATACTCTGAGGATAAAAGGCATTTAGCTGTCTTTATTTTGCTATGCTTTTGCTTATGATATTTTCCTCCCTCTTGCAAATGCAAAGCTTGTAAGCTAAGTGACTTTCTATGTCTTTGTATATAGAAAAAGCCACTGAGATTTGGCCATCTGGATCTTAACTTTAGTCCCAGATTCTACAGGGACAGAAGCATAAGTAACTTTCACATAAAAGATGGTATCATTTTTCACCATGAAAGGAATCAAGATGCATAGGGAGATAATGGCATACTTCCAGTGTCTCTGCACAAGTTGTCAGGGCAGGGCACTCTGATACTGCTGGTCTTTGTCATGCTGAGAACCTAAATGAAGAGAACACTAAACAGATTACAAGGAGAATCTGCTGCATTCTTTCAAAACATAGCCGATGCTGCTCTGACATGAGCACTCAAACACTTCAGGCAGTGGTGTGAGTACCACATTGCCAAATGAACCTTGTTCCCTACTTTGTTAAGAAGCACAAGCTTTCCCCTGTGTACATTTATCTATGTTCCTTTTCATTGTGTTGGGCGACCTTTGAAACACTAACCAATGGGATGTTTTTCTCTTGTCCTGGATCTTTGGCACTTAGACCTGTTTAAGCCAACTTTAAAATGCAATGTTTTTCCTTCTGTCTACTGTTCAGAATTATACTCTTTGCCATTTATGTTTCTAATTATATATTTTATTCTGTCTATTGTTCTAATCCTCCAAAAGAGAATTCAAACAGGACTCCTTTGAGCAACCACTGATCCTGTCAAGCCCTCATGGCAAAAATCTTCTAAACATGTGATTTGAATATTAAAGTAGAAAGTAACAAGAAGTACATGAAGTGAAATGATTTTTAAATTGACCTTCACAGTCATATTATAGATGAAAAATAAGTATCAAATTCTACCAAATTTTGTGGCAAGAAAGATCTTTGTGTAAAATAGTAAAAGTAAAAAAATATAGTAGGAATATCTTTCAAAAACTTCCTCAGACAAGATATTTCATTACTGTGAAGAAAATAGTTTTACTTTGAAATGTTTTTCCATAAGAACACATTGTTTTGTATGATCAATAGAAGCTCTTATTTCACTGAGGCACATTGGCTGACAGTTGCCTCACTCCCTTCTTGTATTTTTTAATATTGGCCCAACATTAAAAGTACTTTGGTCTTTGGAACGTTTCCCTATCAGCATAAGACTTAGGGTGTGCTGGTACTCATTTAGCAAGTAGATGCTTTAGGACTCTTGGGTGCAAGTTATTCAAATCTGCTGGCTTAAATTTAGGAGTTTAGCACTCTTAAATGTTGTTTAACATTTTTCTTTTGTTGATGGGGAAAATATTACCTCATACTCCTATGATATAAATACATCATTCTAATTCTTTCCAAGTAGAGAGCAATTATTTCTTATGTCATTTAATGGTTTTACTGTCTAATCATGGACAAATGTTTTTGAAGATTTTCCCTGCTATCACGGTATATAAATTTCATACTGTTCCTTGTCCTGCTGACCCAGATAAATTTTTCTTTTATGTTTTTCAATAATTTTGTTTTTTTAATCTGTTCCTCCTCTTCTGTTTTTACATTGCTGGTTAATTTTCTTTTCTGATCCAGGATTTCCAAAAATCAAAGTTGTCCTTTTCCCTCTATTGTGGCTCTTTGGCTTCAAACTTCACAAAATTATATGATTATGTTCACAGTTGAGGAAATACAGATGTTTGGTTTAATTCCACTTTTTTCATTTGGGGAAGTGTTTTTTTTCTGGGACTTTAGCTAGCCCTTAATGCATTTCATCAGTTCATAATCACTGATGATTAGTTCATGACCATTATTTTCTACTGTGAGAATTCATCCTTATTTATCAGAAAGATCATAAAAATATCGTAATATCGTAAACTTGAGAAATCAATAGCATGCAGAGAGGTAATCTCTGAAGTGGTAGAAGCTCCATGCCATTTTATGCCTGCTGTTGTTTTAGATTTGGATTGTTTTTTGGTTTTTTTTTTTTTTCTGCAAGTGAAGAGGCTATGAAGTAATTTATCATTTTGTGCTGTTACACTATTCCAGTGGACTCCTACCCCAGGATCCCTTCTCTTTTTCTTCTCCTTCTCCAGGCTCTTGGCAGTATATTGATAAGACTTCATTGAACATTCTGGGCTTCCAATCTAGTCTAATGCTAGTATTTTGGGGGAAAATTTTGGTTGAGGCCTTTTACCCACATTTTGATCATTTACTCCATTATGTTTGTCTCTTTGCAACAGTTTTCAGCAAGCTTTTGGCTCCCTTAAGGCATTTCTGGCCAAGATGATTAATTCTCCATTTATTTGTATTTTTCCAGTGTAAGTGACCAACTCTTCAAAAAGTGAATTAGTGCTTCTCAGAACCCATGCAGCTGTCGGCTCATTTTCAGCTGAGCTAGTCCTGCTCCTGGAGAAAGTCCTGCCTTCTCTTTCTTGTAGAGACACTTCAGAAAATACCAGTTTTCCCCTTCATTTCAACTTTTTTGACATAAAATGGTTCTGTATGTTTTCATATTGTACCCTTACTGTTCATTACTGCCTCTCTGAAATGGGAAACGTTTACCAGACTGCTTTGTCACACCTTTGGTCACCTCTGCTGGGTTGCCTTGGGATGTGCTCTGAGCAGGATGAGGAATGCACTCAAACTGATCCGAATCTTAGATTTATTTCTTTAATGTAAATAATCCATAGTCCTTGTATGAGTTAGCTTTCCATCTGCACCCTTCTGCTTTCCACTGTGCGAGTGTGTGTGTCTGAAAGACATTGAGGTGCTGGAGCGTGTCCAAAGAAGGGCAGCAAAGCTGGTGAAGGATCTAAAGAACAAGACCTGTGAGGAGCAGCTGAGGGGACTGGGGTGGTTTAGCCTGGAGAAAAGGAGGCTGAGGGGGGACCTCATCGCTCTCTGCAACTACCTGAAAGGAGTTTGTAGTGTGGTGGGTGTTGGTCTCATTTCCCAGGTAACAAGGGATGGGACGAGAGGAAACGGCCTCAAGTTGCACCAGGGGAGGTTTAGATTGGATAGTAGGGAAAGTTTCTTTATTGAAAGGGTTGTCAAACATTGGAACAGGCTGCCCAGAGAAGTGGTTGAGTCATCAACCCTGTAGGTGTTTGAAAGATGTGTAGATGCAGTTCTTAGGGACACGGTTTAGTGTTGGATTTGGCAGTGGTAGGTTAACAGTTGGTCCTCTTAAAGGTCATTTCCAACCTAGATGATTCTATGATTCTACACACGCATTTTTTTATATAGAAATGTATGTGTATCATAGATACACATTTATATATATACACACACACGTGCACACACCTACATATCTATCTCCAAGACTTGATCACAAGAATTTTTTTGTGTCTCTACTGCTGACAGCCCTCCTTGCTGAGACACTAGCTTCTGCCATTGCCTTACCAGTCTCAGGTGGGAACTAAACAGCTTAGTACCAGGCCCTGGAAGGGGGCAGGCACTGAGCAGCACATTTGCAAGACTGCAACTTGATCTGTATTCTTAGAATCCTGATCCATGTTACCAGCTTTCTAAGACCTGTGCTTGTGCTCTGTGAGGTGGAGTCCCTAGGCCACTTGTTTTATCTTGCTCACTCATTAGGTGTCTTTAGTCTGTATGCCATTTGGAGAAAAGTAACATTTATTACACTTTTTTGTGATGCCTGCCGGTAAGAATACCAACCCAGAATCAGTTTTGAGTCATACTACATGGTGGCATTTGTGCAGTCATAATTTGTAAAGTAATGAAGAACATGCATATGTGTGTAAGCTGATCTCTGTCACGTTGTATGGTTTTTGTGCACTGCTGTTTAACCTTGTTTTATTCCTTTTTTTAGGGATTTGTGCCTGGTCTGTTTGGCACTTCACATGGAGCACTTCAGTTCATGGCATATGAGGATTTGAAACTGAGATACAACAAGTATAGAAACAGAGTATCAGATGCAAAATTGGTACGATTCTTGACAGTAAAAATGTATTGTGGCACATATAAGCAAAAATTTATTCCATTTGTCTAGGCCATAGAACAGCCAAATGTACAACATATTGATACATTAACTTGAATTAATTGGAATGTAGAATATATAGAAGGAAATAATGCTTTTTCACTTTTTAGAAACATTTAGCTGGTTAGCACTGTTTTCCTATACCAACTTCTTATACTGTCAAGTGTTTTGAGAATTTTAGAGGTAGGAATGTTTTTTTGTCTTACTTTGTGGAACCGTAGGTGGCAGTCTTAACCACTTGCATGGAAAACTGGTCAGGTACAAGTTGGGCAAAGGTAGTTATTTTTGGAAGAAGTGTTTCACTTGATAGGAATGAGAGAGCACAGCACATGTTTTATAATTAATTACTTGTAGCTCTGTATATAGTAAGTGTTGCCATTTTTTTTAAATGTGTATATTATAAGGGGAAAAATTTAGAGCATCATTTAGTTCAACATCTAAAAATAAAATAAAATTTTGGGAAATTGGCTAATTTAAACCATACTTAAGGCAAGCCTGGTAATTTTTTTCACTTTTAGAACACTGTGGAATACATAACGATGGCAGCTGTATCCAAAATATTTGCTGTGTCAGCAACATATCCCTATCAAGTTGTGCGAGCTCGTCTTCAAGATCAGCATAATACGTATTCTGGTGTGTTTGATGTGATCCGCAGGACATGGAGGTAGGCATGCAGAATTAAAAGCTTATGTCTTAGAAAGTGAGTCATGCAGAATCAGAGCTATGTTTATATTGGCTTCCTTGCTGACTTGCAGAACCAGTGCAGCTCAGAGCAAGCAAAATGTTAGCTGTACAAAGTCATTTTGTGCAAGATGCCGCTAATAGCAATGACCTATGGACAAAGGAGGAGGTAGGAGAGGGTCAGTGCTAACCTACAGGCTTCTGTTTATTCTGTTTCCCTTCTCTCTTCCCCAGCACATTTCACTTTCAGGTTAAAAAATAACATTGAGTTGGCTGTTTTGAGGCTCTTAAACAATGAAGCCTCACTTGAACTACTTTAGGATATGATGTACTTTAGGATATGATGTACTTTAGGATATGATGTACTTTAGGTTATGATGAGTGTTGTGCTCCTGGGAGTTGTGGCTAATCCAAATTCCCAGCAGGAGGAAGCAAGCTAGCCAGAGCTGTTTATACTGATGTCACTGGGTTACCCTGGGGGCTGACTGCATTTGTAGTCTAGTCCTAGCTTCCCTCAGGACCTTTAGAGAACTGTTACCTCACACCTATGCATATCTTCTCACAAACCTTCTTCCCTCGGCTCTGTAGGACATGTGAGAGTTTTTACACAGAACTCTAGTTACTAAGGTTGGCCACCTTTGCAGTATGCGACCAATATTCTTGCATTGGACAGTGTTTCTGGGGTGCAGCATATTGCTAGAGACACGTGAGTGGAGTCAGCCAACTCCCAGGGTATTAAGAGGTGCCACCTGAATGAGTAAAGGAGGACCACCCCTGGCTCAGAGGCAGTACAACCATTTTGACTGAAGCCTATTTAAAGTGAAAAATAGCTCTGATGTCTCAGCACTGTGTCTTTCAGTGCTGCATTCTATAGGAAGGCTTATTCATTCTGATAAAGTGTGAACATACACAGCCATTCTGGGGCCCACGACTGTGCTCATTATGAAACAAATGCAGCCTAGAGCCCCAGGGAGGGTGGTGTAAACCACACCTGAGCATTTTCCAGGACCTGTGTTAACTGTACTCACCGTTCCAGGTGTCCTAAGCCTCTCTGAAGCTGAAAAATGGGGAGCTGACATTAAAAGTCTTTGAAACTTTTTAACAGCCCTAACATGAACACTCTGATTCAAATTAGGAGAAGGTAGATTTTAATTTCATGGCCAGTGGAAGAGGTGCTTTAATTCTCTGAAAATAAATCCTGACTTTCCTTAGTTATGTTGACCCTCAGCTCCCTTGTTGTCACATGACCCAAAATCAAGCCTTTCAGCCCTGTTGGCTTCAGTGAGATTAAATATGTAAATGCTTTTTAGAACAGGCTGCAGAAATTTTAAGTTATTTTAACCAGTTCTTGTGGCATGAAGAAAAGTAGTAAATTGCCTCCTATGTAGACAATACAAAAAAAAAAAAACCAAACCACAAAGAACCACCCAAACCCTAGGTTAAATAACTGACCTACAGAATAGTATTATATGTTCAGAAAATAAAATGATAGGTTAATATTTGGTATGTTATAGCTCTTTAAACACTATAGTAAGAAATTATTCTGAAATTGTTATTCCTAACCTGAAGTACCTCTCTCAGTGAGAGCTCAAGAAGAAAAACGCCAAGCTTTGTTTTAGGTGTGTTTTCTATTAAAAGACATTAAGTAAAACTAAATGTTCTTCTGTGTCTTTAAAGGAGAGAAGGAATTCATGGATTTTACAAAGGAATTATCCCCAATGTGATCAGAGTGACTCCTGCCTGCTGTATTACCTTTGTTGTTTATGAAAATGTGTCTGGTTTTTTACTTGGTTTTAGAAAAGAAAATAATTAAAGGTATGAGCTTGTGTTAATAAGGAATCTATCCTTTTATATGTACATATTTATGATCTGGGAGAGATTTAGTTCAGCAGTCTTTTTTGACACTGTGAACTGATCTAGTATTTTGAGGAAAGAATCCGGAGATAGAGGAAAACCCTGACAACATCTCATCTGCTGAATGTTCCTGCATTGCTGCCTTCCTGTCTGAATCAGCTGTGTCTGCTTGCAACAGATGTCTCTGCAACTGTGAAATAATAGCACTGTGACTGGGTGAGGGCAGCTGTGAAGCAATTCAGTTCATCCTAGCTTGTCTGGAATAACGGACTAATCTGTTTTGACAAGTCTCACGTTGGTCAGATTCTACTCCTACAGAAGTGGAAAACTTCATAAAAAAGCAACTCTGGGGTCTGTCAAAACTAACTCTTGAGCCTCATGAAGAAAGCATGTATGTAGTTGTTTACAGCAATGTCTTCTGAATCCACCTCTGTGGTATTTGTCAAATTTTAGGACACAGAATGCTCCAAATTCCATTGCTCATCCAATACAAAAATGCTGCCTCGGTGGGGTGCAGTTTGGAAACCAGCTGTCCATTCTTGGGTTTGAGTAATTGCCAATCTGATGAAACCCATTTCTTGTCTCATACCAGGACAGACTTGCATTGTGGGTTTTGGCTTGCTTTTAGCACCAGACCAAAATGTATGTTGTGTGCATTGCTGACCACTTACTTAATTCATTTTCTCTCTCTTCCCTGTCTGCCCTCTCAATCTCTCTCTCTCTGCAAGATTGTTTCCATTACTGATACATCTAACCAAATATTACTAAGTAAATGCCTATTTGAAAGTAGGCTTACACTTTAAAAAAGTTTTTTTCCTAGTAATCCCATAGTGATACAGTTTTCAAACCACTGTAATAACAAATATGAACATGCTTATTTTCAATAATATTCTCTGGGAAAAAAATAATTCTGTAAGTAGTCTAAAAAATACTGTGCACAGGACTTTCTTTAAAAAAGCTAAAGCAGTCCATTAATGTCTTCTGATTTGGTCTAAGGAAAGGACTGTAAGACTATATTGATTGCCAACTTAGTGATAAACTAAATTACAGTACATCTCAGTAAATTTGTGTAGTAATGGTGTTTATTTGCATGCTGATAATTGCCATCAAGGATATGTACTTTTTGGAGATCTGGTTTTGTTCTGTTTTTTTAGTTCTTTAAGAAAATACATTACTGGCCATAACCTCTGCCTTCTGCTGTTAGTAAGAAGGTATTAAGAAGTATCTAGAAGGTAGCACTAAACTAAGGAGGAAATAAGTTACCAAAGATTATTCAACAGTTAGGGGGAAATAATCAGTTTCATAAGGAGCAGAGAATACTATCCAGCAAAACACCCACTTAGAGAAGTTTCATCTTTAACAGAAGACTAACATAAAACAGAAATAAGGCACATTTATAAAAATTTAACAGATTAGGACATTGGTTTCAAATTTAAGTTAAAATCTGGAAGGCTACAGAAACTGTTCAACATTTTGAATTTTAATTGAGCAGTAGTCCACTTGCTTGTTTCTGTTGATTCTATTTTCACATAGTGCATTTTGTGTATACTTATTAATAATTTACCCTTTCTCCTCCACGATCCCATCCCTTCTACTGATACATTTGATAATCTCATCTGAAGAGGGCATGAGGCCATTATGGCTGGTTTTGGTTTTTATTATGAAAGTTTCCACATGTATTTAGCTGAAGATCAAATTTACTGGATGTGTACCATGCAAATTACTGTAGAGAACCCTAACAGCTACTGCTTCTGCCTTTGGGGAGGGTGCTTACTTGGTTTTATGTTTCCTAGTACACAGCATTAATTTAATGGAACACCGAGTTAACTCTGCCACCCAGGGTCCAAAAAATACTGTGAAGACATATGAATAAATCATAAGAAAAGAATAAACGTTATGCACTTACTACCTTGGATTAGTGTGCTCTAGGCCCAAAACAGCTTACTCGTGCTCCAGGATAAATGCAAAGACAGACTATATACATCTACACAATCAGTTACTGTATGTTAACTGACATTCTGTAAATTCACACCATAGCTTAGCTCACAGTAACTTGTTTGTGTTCAGATACCTTAAAACCCATTGCCCAAGCCAATGAAAACAGTACAGTTCTGTGGAGACAAAATACCAGCTGTATAATTTGCTGGCTTGCAGCAATATCACACATAAGTTTGCAGTTGGGAAAGCCCGAATGCTCTCCTAGCTGCAGGTGTGTTCCTCTAGCATTCTTAACAAAAACTGCAGGCAAGAGCTACCACTTTGAGAGATGCCTGGGGAAAATATTACAACCTGAAAAAAAGCTGAAATTTAATCCTAAATAGCCAAAATAAATTCCTTATCTCGGATGTAATGTTATTCCCTTTTAATTTCTGGGAAGAGCATAGACTTCTGCATGTTGTACATGCTTTTTCTTGAGTTTTTTATTTCATTAATGTAAAATTGATTTTGTAATATAAACATGACTATTGTTTCCCTGTAGAACCTAGAATTTTTTAAAATATTCGAGTATATCACTTGTTGCATTTGGAAGAAAATACTTAAAGCACTGAAGCTAATGCTGTGCTGGCGTGATCAGTGTTGCCACTTGTCCAGTCTGGAGGCTGCAAAGAGCTGTGACATCATCACTTTACCGGTACACGCTTTGGGAGCCAGGGCGTTTCAACCTGCCATATTTCTGTATCTTCCAAACTATTTAATGTATCTAGCTTTAAATTAACACCAAAGTGAGTGTATAGATTTGAAAGGCTAAATCCAGAAGAATTATTTTATTGGAGCAATGAAACCAAGTTTGTAACTGTAAAATTACTTAGTATCTGCACACTAATAGTGGAGACCAGTAAGAGATGTTTATATTGAAATCCAGTCTATCGAGAAGCAAAAGAGGGAAGGAGAACTTAGTCTATTTTTACTTAGTTATTCGGAACAAGGTATTTAATGCTGAGCACATCATCTAGGTCATAGTTAAGTCACCAGGAGTTTGTTGAGCGATTTAAGACTTTAATAGCAGAGCATCCTATTCTGCAGTCACCTTTAAAGGAGTAAAGTTACGTATGTCTTCTGAAGGCTAAAACCAAAACCTGAGTTTACTTTCTTAGAACTTTCTATGAAGTCTAAAAAAATTGTATATGATAACACAATGTAAAATACCTTAAACAGTTTGATGATCAATAAAATAGCCTGGATTTTTTTTTTTTAAAGGTCTTATTTATTTGATACAAAAAGTTACGGTTAATTCTTAAAATGGTGGTGGTATATTTTCATACATCAAACAAGGAATTAAAAAAGTTAATGAACTTGGTTTTGATATTCTAAAATGATTATTATAAAAAGCCTCTGCGATGTGCAAAAAAAGGCTAGACAAAGACTACAGATGCAAGAGTTTGATTTGATCCCTTTCAGTCAAATACTTGCATCCAACTCTATAGAAATAAATTCTGAAGAAAGTTGTACAAAATTTTAAAAAAGGGAGAGATTATAAAAAGGCAAGGAAAGTTACTTTGGCAGTTCTTCAATGATGATTCGGGAGACTGAATTCCATCCAGTAGAAGCATCTCCCCGTGGATAATCTGAGCAAGTCCCAACCCAGATGGCAATATCCACCAAGCCGGCATTGATCCCTTCACACAAGCCTTCCACTGGTTAAAGAAAAAAATCAGGTTACCTCAGCAGACACAATCAGTTTGCATTTCACAACTGAAGGTGGACACAAGTACTTAACAACAGCAGTTCACTGCAAGCCCATGCTATTTAGTTTAACCTGAATACCATTTTTAGAAATAAATACTATTACTTAGAGATGTGGCAGCATAGGTTAGAGTCATGCACTGCCTTTATCCAGGCTGCTTCGTGACAGTTGCTGCAGTACCTGAAGCAAATTGCAATCCACGGGATGGCTAAGTGGGAAGTATATTACTTCTTTCAATGTCCAAATTTATAAACTGGTAGTTGGGATATGGCTTCAGTCCCATCCAGCCATGTTTCTAGCAGTGATGGGGAGAGGGGACGGGGACACAGCCGTGCCTGGCTTCTGCAGCTAAGCCCTGCAAAGGTAGCTTGCCTCCCTGTAATCTTTTCCACTCCTAATTCACTGCTTTTGTATAAAGTTCCCCTTCTGTTGCCCTTTGCTTTTCCCCACTAGCACCACTCGTTGGAGGTGGGTTAATAGAGCCAGGTGGGTCCTACCGCTCGATGAAAAAAATGTAGCATAGCTCTAGACATCAGATTTCATGAAGTCATGAAATAGTACATGAAGAAAAATAGAGAAAGAGTAGAAACTTGATGTTAGTCCCCTTTTACACTGAATGACTTAACTAATTTGCCTTTTACTTAGCCACTGAAGCTTGATATTCCTAGATATTTCACTTTGGAGGTAGTTTCATGCCCCACCTGAAATTACAGTGGAAATTCCAGGAGGACTAAGTCATTTTATGTACAGATAATGCACAAATATCAGTATTTTAAGCCAGGATGACACTGTCTACTTGGCAGTAAGGCAGTTTCTCCATATGCTAATACAGCACAGAATGTCTCTCTATTCATGTTGTAGCAGAGATCACTAGAACTGTCTGGATAGAAATCTTTTCCATTTCTAAATTGCAGGATGTAAGTACCATGAAAAAATACCACAGGAATAAAGTACCACTTAATGGGTAACTAATACTGTTACTATTGATAGTCAGCTGTGGGACAGCAGAATAAGAGTAACAGTGTTAGCTGGCCACTCTTCTGCCTCTTCTTTCAGTCTCTTCTAAGGCAGACTGTACTCTGCATTTGGTAACTGGATTTGCCACTAACTTCTGCTCCATCTCTGTTTGTGTGGTCTCAGCATACATACCTGAAGAAGTTCGGTGTATATTAATAGTAGAATTCAGCTCTGGGCTTCCTTGATCTAAATATATTATGGCTTCAATAGGAAGTGGCCCAGCACATTCTGCTCCATTAAAAGTAAAGTACCAGCGCTGACAACAGGCATTTTTGCATTTTAGCCGAAGCGATCCACTGAAGAGAACACGGAGAGCGCTGTTCGAGCGCATCTTTGTAAATGTACATTCCTAAGAGGAGACAACAATGCTTTGGTAGCAATCTCTGGTTTTGAACATACTTATTTTCTATATATTTATACTTAGGAAATATATTTAGAAATATATTAGGAATATATATTTATTTCAGAATGTTTTGGCTATTCCCTTTAGTCCCTTCCCTCTGGAAAAAAAAAAAAAAAAAAAAGACCCTGGCAAATACCATACAGTGCAAAGACACAAATGAGAAACAGCACCTCATAGATAGTAATGGGAAAGAGGGATTATGGAAATTCTTAACTTCATTTAGATAATATGTGCTGTTAAGTTGGTAACTCAGTTACCTTCTGGTGTTTACGTAAAGCAGAATGAGCTGTCTGAAAGCTGCACTGAAATCCTTGCCTAAGAGGACAGTACAATTTCTGTCTCTTACCAGAAATCCTGGATTTAAAAATTATCACAAGATTTGTGAAAGGCTTAAACACCAATAAAAGCTCCACTTCTAGAAAATAAACATTTTCAAGTTTTTAAGAGGTTGTTATCCTGTCTTCAAAGTGCTGGATATCATGGAGGGCCGGGGGGGGAGGGGAAGCTAGGGACAGTTCCGCAAGTACAAGGCCGTGAGAAATGCCAACTCAAAAAAGTTGATGCTCACTCTAGCCACAGCGATAGCAGTTAAATTATTCCAACCAATCTGGGCATTGGTTCATAGCTGGGACTGAGCTGAGATTTCTTCCCCTCTTCTAGGCTTGCACCATTGTGTTTGCAAGTTTTCTACACAGGGCTGCAGTGAAGGACAGGCTGTTTGTGTTAGTCAGGGTGACACTCAGTAATTCTGCTCCTGAGCAATGCTGATCCATTTTGCAGTAGCATCCTGCCACTGAGTTTCAGTCAACAACCATTTTGAAGCAGGAGGTATAAAGACAGGTACAATTAACAGATTAAAGATGTACAACTCTCCAGTTCCTTACGACTGAAACAGTAAAAGCCTTGCTCTGTTTTAGGCAAGCCGGAGGTACTTTTTTGGTAGTGTGAATGTCAGCCCTGCGGTTACAGATCTGGTCTTCTAAATGTACTTTTGCACCAGCCACAGCATTCTTTTGCAATGTTTGAGAAGTTCACCCTTACATGTAGAAAGAGGCTCCCACAGGAAATCTGTACAATTGGCACTACCCAGCCCACAGAGGCAGATCTAGACCCTGCTGTGGGGGTGAAGCACAGCAGCCTAGGCAAAGCTAACTTACTGCTATCTTCCCAAGATCGATGCCGTAATTAAGCGCACTCCACGAACACTGCTTGAAGTTGGGTGTCCAGGACTCCTCGATGCTCTCGCGCATGCACTCGCCCTTCTCTCCCTTCAGCCCGTCCCGTCCCGGGATCCCAGGTGTCCCGGGGATCCCGTTGGCTCCCGGGTTTCCATCCCGTCCAGGAACACCACTGGGGCCTTGCAAGCACATCCCGTTGTACTGAAACACAGAACAGATCTTGCTGCTTCTGTCCATTAACTACAAGAATAATCAAGTTAAACACAACAACAAAACACAAGAACCCCTGCTGTAACACAAGCTAATGGGCTATATCTGGATCACCAAGGAAAAGGTTCTGTAGAGGGCAAAAAAGGAAAAATAAAATTTCAAAGATAAGCAGTGCCAGCAGAATTTGCTGTAGATTAAGATGTCAATTATGTACGTCTTATTTTGCAAAAGATGCATAAATCCTAGAATTAAAAATTGGCCTAGTCCAAGGATTAAAACCTATTGGAAAACTTCAGAAGACTCAAAACTTTCCAATACAGAAACAAAGAAAAAAAAAAAGTTGTATGTTAATAGTTACTTCCTCCTAACCCACCTTTGCTTCTAGAATCATCTCCGCTAATAAGATTTCATTATTTTTTCCTTTTTTTTTTTTAAAGTAGAGAAGCTTTTGCGTTTCATAGAGAGCGGAGGTTAATGCCATTTTTCATCTGTGGCCGCTTCTCTGGGACAGAATCCCGCTGCGATAGTTAAGCCACACAAGTCAGACTCCAGAGTGCACACAGCGTGTCGGCGCTGATGCGGATGTGGGAAGCTGCACCCCGGACTAATCCTGAACTCGGGGTCCCCGCTGGTAGCGGCGGGAAGGCGCCCACGGGAGGGAGGACAGCACGCTAACAGCACAGAATCGGGACAGGCCAAACGTTGCTCTTCCCACACTCGCGCGTTCGCACGCGTTGCCTTCATACCGTCCGAGTTGTGGGTTTGCCCTCCGTGGAGAGTAGGTTGGTGCAGCCCAGAGCTCCTTCCCCGGCGGCCTGAGCGCGGGGTGCCGGGCGGGGGGGCACACGCGGGGAGCGTGGGCACCCAAACGCCCAGCAGGAACTCGCAGGGGCTGCCCATCGCAGGGCTTCTGCTTCAAATGCTCCTTCCCCTCTGGTGACTGGTGCCTTCCTCCAGTCTTCACCCCAGGTCCTCACAGGTAACTATATTCTGCTCATCCCCTTTCTCACACCTATTTTTCTTCATTCGTTTTAAACCATCGTGCAACTATTCTGCAGGCCGTGCCACTATTTGCACCATAGGAGCTGTAAATTACAGCCCCTGCCCTCTGTCCTTTGTTATACCGGCTAACTTTCTTCTTCTGGGGTTGTTCCTTTTCCTGCGCTTTGGTGCAAAAACCAGCACGTGCATCACAGGCTTGGCTGGAGCCACTCTATAAATAAAATCAGTGACTATAGGAAAAGGTCTGGTAAGAAGTAAGATGAGAGCTCAACTAATGGATGCTGGCATTCCCTTACTACCTTCAGCAAAGAAAACACGGCTGGCAAAAGGTAATGGAAATAGTGGGATATTATCATCAAGAAGGCCACATTAAAAAAAAAAGTTAGCTGGAGAGAAGGCTGCTTGGTGAAACACACACCCACCTAGGGACCACGAGAACGATGCAAAGACATTTCTGTTGCACACAGCACTGGTTATCTGCTTTTGCTGCTACTTTCCCGTTGGACTCAGTGACTTGGCTCTGGTTTTACATGTGGTTACTCACCACAGAAATCCCAAGGACGTGGAAACTGGGGAGAGCTGGGGCCCACTGGCTCAGCCCCCGGGGGGCACCGGCAACACCCTGGGGCTGCCCCAAAAGTGGAGCTGCAGCCCGGAGAGAGGGCTCAGCCCTTGCATACCCCAAAAAATGGATGTGAGCGAAAGAGTTACCTGGGCTTCGGGCTCCACTCCAACTAAATTCATCTGTGCTTGCCAAATCAAGTCTTTTTCATGCTTTCTTAAGCTGGAAATGCATAAAATATCTTTTAAAATGTCCGCCGAAGGCAGGATCCCCTCTGGGGCATGGCTTCATTCTGCCCTGGGAGGGCTTTTGCTGAAGCAGTCTGTACAATCAAGCTGTGCCCGACTCAGTTGCCATCGATTTACCTGCACTTTGCTGCTCATTCTGCTGCACCCAAAAGTGTGGAGCAATGCAAGAGAAATGGGGGGACCCTAAAATATCGCTCCAACAGAAAACATAAGCTCCTCCCTTTGTGCAGATTCCTTATTCTCGATGCAATTTAATTTCCAAGTAAAAGTGAAGGGGTAATGAAGTGGTGGGAAAGGGAAGGAACGTTGCTACCCATGGTGCCTCCAGCACATCACTCTGGGGGATCTCTCTGGAGCTCGTGGAAGAAATGTCCATGCCTCCGATTTTCTATAGGAGGTGAGCAGCAGTCCAGCAGCTCACAGAAATAGCTTCACATCTGCTTTCTACATTCCAAGGACTGGAAAATCTCCCTCCTTTCTTCTATCCCTGAGACGGGATAGTCCCAACGGCTTTCAGGCTTCTAGTTGCAACGGAATTACAAACCGGTATGCAGTCCCAGGCGCCCAAGGGAATAAAGCAGAAACGCGACCCCGAGGAAAAGCGGGTTCGGTGGGCGTGCAAGAGGCAGCTGCCACAGCACCTAAGGGCTGCTAGACAGCGGTCCTTCCCCTTCTCTTCCTGCAGTTTATTATTTACCCCCTAGCCTTTCAGGAGGCTAAACCAGCATTTGCCACTCCCGCCGCCCGGCTGCCGCGATCCCAGCAGCGACCCGCGGGGGGCAGGGGCCAGCCCACCCCCCCACCCCACCCCACCCCACCCCACCCCACCCCACCCCCCACCCCACCCCACCCCACCCCACCCCACCCCCCCCCACCCCACCCCACCCCACCCCACCCCCCCCCACCCCACCCCACCCCCCCGCCGGCCGCGGAGACTGCGCCGCCTTTACGCGCGACCTCCGCGAGGCTCCGACCCGATGGAGAAAGCACGAAGGGGCCGCCGAAACCCTGGGGGGTTCCGTTAGAGCCCGCCCAACCCCCTCTCTCAGCCTTTCCCCGATGCAGCACGGCCAGGGCGTAATTAAAAACACCGAGAGGGAACCCAAACGGCGCCGGGACACGCGGCGGCGGGCCCCGCCCGGTGCGGCAGCGAGGTTTTTTCGCAAACCGCTGTTTTTTCGCCTTCCCCCCCCCTCCCCCCCCCCAATCTTTGCAACCAAAAAGCAGCCGGGCGGCTCCCTTCCCCACGTCCCCCCCCCCCAACCCCGCCGCCCCTCTCACCATGTCCACCACCTCCCGCTGCCGAAGCGCTTTTTGCTTCCCCTTGGGGCTGTCGGAGCCGCCGGCCGGGGGGGCCACCGCCAGCAGCAGCAGCAGCAGCACCGGGGCGGGGGGGGCGGTGGCCGGGCCGCGGCGCATGGCGGGGGGCGGGTGGGGGGGGGGGGGGGGAGCGGCAGAAAAAGGAGGGAAGGGGGGAAAGGGAAAAGGGCCCGGACCCGGGTCCGCCGCTCTGGGCGGCAGCGCGGGAATAAATGAGCCTTTCAGAGCGTGGAGCCCCAGCTCCCTCCGCGGGGAGGCCGGGAATTTCCATCCTGTAACCGAGCGGGAACGTCCAGGCAGAGCCGCCCCCCCCCCCCCCCCCCCCCCCCCCCGCAGCCATTGGCACGGCGGCCGGGGGGCGCCCGCCCCCTCGGGCCAGGCCCCGCCGCGCTCTGCCCGGCCGCTGGCGGCCCCCCCGGGGGGGGCAGCGGGGCAGAGCGGACCCCCCCCAGAGCGCACCCCCCCACCCCCCCCCCAGAGCGCCCAGCAGCCCTCCGCCGCGGCGTGGGGGGGGGAGTGGGGGGGTGGTTACCCGGTTACCCCGGGGCGGGTTACACCTTTCTGGTGAAAGGGCCCGTTTTGCCCAGAAATCGCCGAACGCCGCTGGAAACGGCGATAAAATAACAGCTGGGTGTAAATCACCGGTTTCGCTGCAACAGAAGTGCGAGGTAAAGGACACAGAACCCTCCCCAACAGCAGCGGAATTTGGGTTTTTATCAAAGAGCTTGGTGTTGCCTGGCTGAACGTTGTCAATTTAAGCACAAGAGAAGTCTTCGGCAACCCAGTGTAAACCATCTCGTTTTGCTTCCATTTAAAAGTAATATTTTACTTTGCATCATACTAGAAATGAAAGCACTATAAAATAAAGAATGCTGTATGTCCTTAAGCATTAAGACTGCAAACAACAAGTATTTGAAAGACAGCTGCTGTACCCTGCAGTCTTCGAGGGACTTGTAGATGAGAGTTTCCTGAAGGGGGAGATAAGCTTCAACACTTTTTTTTTTTTTTCCAAAGTATTTAACAAAAACACGTATTTTTTCCTGTAAGAATACATGTTAGAAGATGTTGACCCATTCACGCTAGACTGTGCAGAACCAGATTTTCGTTTGCACTAAACCTCCCGTCTTTCTGCCATATTTTTTACACTAAAACTTCTGGTTTTCTGCCCTTTCCGCATCCACACTGGCTGAACACTACCAGTACAGTGAGATTCGCACCACGGGTCCGGCTGCTGTCACCAGCCCTGTCACACACTGTCCTGAGATCTGGGACCAACGACAGCCACGTTGCTGAGGTGTGGGCTCCTGCTTCGTGGAGAAACACCCAGCCGGCTTCAGAAAACGGCTCGTAAATAATAATGATTCCCTAAACCCATTGGGAAAATCTATGTAGTGATGTTAATCCTTAATTACAACACTTGCATCTGTGACAGCTTGGTGAACAGCCACGAACACGCACAGCAGAGGCTTCGTTGTGCAATTGTGCGCCGCTGCCAGCACACGCTCCTGCCTCTGGTCCGGGCCGGTGGCAATGCTGTGAGGATGGTGACGTTTGGCTTCTCTGTCATGTGCATGTTCACACAAGCATCATTAACGAGTGGCTGGGGATCCCCGGCATCAATACGGGCTGTTGCTAAGGGACATCCCTTCCCAGGCTGCCAGATTTCTGTATTACAGAATTAATTTGTTCAGGTAACGAGCAATAGCTGAAGGACACAGCACAGCAGCACTGTATGCCTTCCTAATAAAATTACTCAGTATTTTAGATAACAAAATTTGCACATACTTCCCTACGCACTTCCCCACCTGGGTTTGCTCACCGTTAGAGTTGGGGTCTGGGCTAGAAGCTTTTCAATCCCAAATGATTAGCTTTGCCAGGGGAAGCAAGCTGAGGAGTGCTGTAAAAGAAGGGCTTAGCAAATAATGGTGGGACATCTGCTCTGAGCTCTGTAAGTGCCCTGTGCAATTCTAGTGCTCATTTGACTTGCAGTGTGCATCACCATCTGGAGAACAGAAATACCAACATCCTCCTTAGCCTGCTTCAGTCCGAGCAAGCCTTGCCATCTGCCAGGCTTATGCTCTGTTGGCTTTTGATATGTTTAAATACTTCTGAGGGCAGCAACCATTGTTGAATGCTGGTGAGATACTCTAACTGAATCTGAAGTACTGATCTACTTTGCCTTAAATATTTCCCAGACAAAAGGAGCTGTTGTAATAAACTTGACTGAGCATCTTCAAACCAGGATCAATATTGCAGTGACTAGTGACTCTTTCACCTCACCCATACTGCCATATGATATAGATTTTACCATTTATGTGTGGCTCTACAAGTGTATCAGCAAAGATTATGAGGCACGCACATCCACCATTCAAATGCCAGTAAAATCTTCCACACGACCAGTCCGCCGCGGCACAGCCCAGGCAGGCTCACCCGGTGCCACCGGTGCGCCGTACGCGGCGGATGCTCACACCGCCAGGCTGGTGCCACGGGCGCAGTCTCTCTGCTGCGACTTGAGCTGTTTCCCCCCCTCTCACACAGCCTCTCAGCATCCCCCAAAACAGCCACACAAGCCTGGAGAGAAGGATGTGCTCATACGCACACATTTCCATTCACCTCAGCTATAAAATGTTTACATTCGAGGATCTACCCTCTGGGTCACTGGGTTTCTCCGCCTTGTACAAACTCTTCTAGTTTATGAATACTATTTGTTAGAGCACTGGTTTGAATTCAACCAGGAAATAATTGCTATTCATTCCTTGGTCATCACAAAGTGAAACAGCTGCAGTAGGAAAGATTAGGAGCATTTTTTCTTGGGAACCCATTGCCCATGGTTAATGCACAGCCTGGGAATGAAAGACCAGGTTCATATTCTAAATCTGGTAGAAGAGGCTCAGATCTTGTAGAACAGACCCAGATCTGGTAGAAGAGTCTCCTTATACAATGAGGAGAAGCTTTAACAACTCAGAAATAGATTCCTCTCAGATGGGAACTATGTTACTTGTGGCTTTTCACAACCAGGAAAACCAGGCTTAGGTGTCTATTACAGAAGATTCAAGCCTGAGGATCCTGAGCCAAAAGAGGCCCAGTAAGGTAAGTGCCAAGACCTGGACCTTTCATCTGCTTTTAGCATTTATTGCTTTATACAGTTCCCTGTTCTGGAGATTTTGACTTTGACTGGGAGTCCTACCTACGCGTTGCTCGGGGGAACGCGCGCATACCCGGGGGAAGCAGCAGAGCGCTCAGGGTTAGCACTGCAGTGCTCAGCATCCCAATGCTCAGGGTCTTTGCTGGTCTACCCTGGGTGCTTTTAATTCTGGAGTTCATTCTTTAGCTCTTGTTCACTTTATTACTGATATTTTAGGGTGAGTTGTAAGTTGGTGTAAAAGGCTGAGATCAGAGAAGACTGTTGAATTTCTCGAATGGCTCTTTGCAGCCTGCCTGTCTGATCGAGGAGACAAAGAGCCGTCTGTGCTGCTGTAGAAGAAAACCAAAGTAAGAGCTCTCAGGGAAATTTATTACGGGTTTAAGAAATAGATTTCATTTTCTTCCACAAAAAAAATTTAGAGCTGCATAAAATCAATGGGATTGTGGCCTTGATCCCTTCTAACGTTTTTTTTAAATCTAAATATATTATTTATATAGCATGCTTAATATTTTAAAGTAGTCCAAAACTTCTCTCCCTTTATTTTATTGCTTTACTAGCACAGATACACCTATTTAAATAAGTCTTTCAGTAGCTTCTACATAAAATGAGAAGTATGGCATTGTAGTCACAGCAGTGCTTTGCAGGTACACATACCAACATTAGAATCTTAAAAACTAGTTTGGGGCAGATTTTTTAGTGGATTATAATACTCAAGGGATGTCCTATTTCTGCCTTTGAGAAAAGCTTAAAAGTGTAAGTTGCATCAATAGTCTACTTGCTGAGTCTCTATACCTTCAGGTGACAGTTAAGTCATGCTAACAGTTCACTATGCAAGCCATGACAAAATAAAAAAAAAAAAAAAAAATATCTGAATGTCAGCCAGAAAGGACAGGAAGAGGTTAGAGCATAATAACACAGTTTGTCAAAGACAAGAGGGGCATAACTGTCAGGAAAACATGCTAACCCTTCAGAGGCTTGTCTGCAGAAGAAGGTTTCTGTGTCCATATACAGGAGGACAGCATTTTCTGAGTGTGAGAGAAAAATGCTGCAGTTAAGTGTTAATTCTTTACTTCTGAATAAGCATGTGTGCGTTCTTAATGTTACTGTGGGAAACATTGTATGTTTGCACAACAGAAAACACTAGAGAGAGGATTAACACTCATTACTCAGATTCGTTACTTCTTCTATCAAGATAAATCTTTAACATTGATACCAACAAGTCAAGACCAGGACATACATCAGATACCAAAGAGCTCATCTTGTGTACACAGCTCCTTTCAAAGCCTGCTGAGGCTTCCGGGCAGATTTATTTTTTCTGTCCAAGTCATCAGCTGATTTATAGTTGCATTTCCCTACAGCTGTGGCTTTCACAATAATGATGGAAGTATTGAATAGCTTAAACTAAACACCACTCACAAATTATCAGCCAGAATCAGATAAACTTAGTAAAACTTCGGGAGAACTATCTGCTTCACTGATAAAGGATAACTCAGGATATCCAGACATTTCCATATTGTAAACTTGATGATGAAAAGCCCGTACTGAGACCTGGTTTTGCGGATTGCTGGTTGCAGATGTCTGACTCTGAAGGAGTGTGGGCTGTACCTCTGCAGGAATGTCTCCCACGTGCAGCCAGTGCAGTCCTGGCTGCAGTCCTGGGAAGGTTTGGGTCAGAAGGGGTGTCTGGAGTACATCTGGTCGAAGCAGGTCTAGTTAGATTGGGTTGTTCAAAGACTTATGCACATGCTAGAATGGGAAAAATAATTTAGTCCAGTTTTAAGTTAAATTCACTGGGGATCCAGTGAATCATCATGTGCAATGAGAGAGCTGAGGCTCAGGAGAAACATTTGCTCATTAGAGTAACTGTGAATTAGTCAATGGTAGAAAAATTACTTGGCCACTTCATGAAAACTTCAATGAATAAAAAGGCCTCTTGCGGAACTGAAAAGCTAACTTTCCTTGAATCCTGCACTAGTAAATAGTTACTAGGATGTGAAATACATTGCTCCATTCAGCCAGAAAAGCTTATTCATTTTAAGAAAAATAGCTCCGATTAATTTCCATGGCGAGTCCTGACTTCAGCCAGCCTAACATATTTGCATCTCATCTGCTCACTGGTTTTTCTACACCAC